AAAGATCCATGAGCAGAATTATCCCACTCACAACTTAGAGCTTGTTGTTGTGGTTTTTGTTTTTAAGTTGTGGAGGTGTTACCTGTATGGAGAAAGGTTTCAAGTGTTTTCAGATCATAAGGGCCTCAAGTACATCTTCACACAGAAAGACTTGAATCTTCGGCAAAGAAGGTGGATTGAATATCTAGAAGACTACGATTTCACACTCAACTACCATCCGAGGAAGGCTAATATAGTTGCAGATGCACTTAGCAAAAAGTCTCGAGGTGAAATCAATGTTCTTGTTGTTCATAGGTGGAAGATGATTAATGCTTTGAAGGATTTTGACCTATTGGTGGATAAACGGGAGGATCGACCATGCTTATTTAATCTTGTAGCTTAACCAATTCTCCAACAAAGGATTGTGGAGTTGCAATGATTAGATATTGAGTTGGGAGCTATCGGGGGTAGATTGGAGAGGAATGAGATTATTGAGAATTGGTCTATACATAATGATGAATTACAGTTTCGTGGAAGACTATGTGTACCAAATAATGACCAAGTAAGGGAAGAACTAATGGGTGAATGTCATCGTTTAAAATTTTTCATACATCCGGGTAGTACCAAGATGTATAGAGACATGAAACTTCAATATTGGTGGAAAGGGATTAAACAAGACGTGGCTAAGTACGTTGTAAAGTGCGTAGTGTGTCAACAGGTGAAGGTGGAGCATCAAAGGCTCGGAAGATTACTACAGTCTTTGCCTATTCCAGAGTGAAAGTGGGATCACATCACCATGGATTTCATGTATGAGTTACCACGGATATCACGAGGGCACAATGTCGTATGGGTCATTGTAGATAGACTCACCAAGTTCGCTCATTTCTTGAGTATGAAGACCACTGACTCCTTAGAGACCTTGAGCAAGCTTTACATCCGTGAGATTGTCAGATTACATGGAGTTCCACTCTCTATCGTGTCAGATCATGATTCTCGATTTATAGTGCAATTCTGGCAAAGTCTACAATGAGCTATGGGGACAGAGTTACACTTTAGCACCGCCTTTCATCCTCAAACGGATGGCCAATCCGAGAGGGTGATACAGATTCTAGAGGACATGCTACGTGCGTGTGTGTTGGACTTCAAGGGAAGTTGAAGTGATCATTTGTCATTGGTAGAATTTGTATACAACAATAGTTTTCAATCTAGCATTGGCATGACACCGTATGAGTGGGTGGATTGTAAACCCCTACATTCTATTTGTTTTTATATAACAACGTGATTACTTCTGAAACACTAATATATGTAATAATGTATGCATGAACTATGTATAGTGTATGAGTAGAAATAAAATGTTAGTTGAGGTAATAGAGTATGTTGTAGAAGTGTGGAAGTATTTTGGAGTGAAAACACATTTTTAAACAAAAATTTGGTAGGAAGGATTTTGGACACTCTCTAGTATTTGGATCATAACTTTTTATCCTTATGTCCATTTGATTTGACATTTTGACAGTAGATAGTAGACGCCTAGGGCTATAGGTCAAAACTTCATTGACAGTTACAACAGAAACTGGGAGGACATTCGAACGTGAATGGACGTTCGAACGGCAGTGAGTCCTAGTACTTTGGTCTCTACAGATCTCTGATGAAAATGCAAAAGTACTGGAAGCAACCAACATTCGAAATCCAAAGTGACGTTCGAATGTGAATCACTAATTTGCACTGTGGACGTTCGAATGTCAAATGACGTTCCAACGTGACTTATGAATTTTGGCTTTCAGAATCGGGCACAGAACACCATTTTTCCCCTATAAATACTTAAACATACCTCTCTTAGCCCTATTTCAACATATATAACCCTAGAAAGGCTTAGAGAGGAAGAAATAAAGGGAGAAACAAAAGATCAAGGGGGAGTTGCACATTGAAGAGGATCACAACTATTAGGTTTTTCAAGAACACCAAGGAAGAAAAAGGTAGGGGTTTTCTTTCACTCTTATTCATTGATACTAGGGCTTATATATATATATACATGTTTTGACACTAAATCTTATATATATGTATTGAAATCCTTGATTCTTGATATTCTTGCAACTATTACTATGTTTTGAGTGAAGTTATGGTTGATAGCCATAAAACCCTTGTTTTTGATGTCAAAACCTAGTTTTTGAGAAACATGAAATCTTCTTCTTGATATTCTTGTACTCTTGATTTAAAAACCTTAGTGCTTTATTTTGAACAATTAAAGTATGTCCTTTGATGATCTCTTGCATATTTTCTTAAATTGTTCTATTGGAATCATATATATGAAATTTGAGGATTTTGGATTTTACGTGTGATTGGAGAAATTGGTTGGGTGTTATATCTCTTGTGGATGTTTGGATAGCCATGGGTGGCCTTTGACCGGATATCGTAGAGTGGGTAGATGAGTTTCTTACTCCGTGCGGGTTTAAATTTTTTCTACCACTCGTAGTGGGGTTGGTGTCTTGCGAGGACCAAACTATTATTCGCTCACAGATACTGAGGCTGAGGGTTAGTATACTATTCCTAGGTTGGATTTGTCACTGTCATGAGTTGGTATACGTCCTTCCTAAAAGTTGGATATCTTTGCGGGAATTTGTGTGTGTGTGTGAACCAGGATATTCTCGATGTGTTTATTCATGCAATGTCTTACATCAGACTTGAGATAAAGATATACAGATATACAGATTGTGGTTGATTATATATGGTGGGTTGTGTCCCTGTACAAATGTTGGAAACGATTTAGTGTTGAAATGACTCATTGTGGGAGCGGTTTAATGTTGGAATGGTTTATTGTTGGAAAATTTATTTTGCTATTCATTTAATTATAGCCAATGTGTAAACTTGAAATCTATTGAAATGTTCCTGTTTTTTTTCAAAAATTGATATATGATATTTGCGAAATGAGACCGACTTATTTTATATGTTTAGTAAACCTTATTCAAGTTTTGGAGGATGTTGCTACAGAGCTTAGTGCTCACCCCCTACAAACAATATATTTTTCAGATTGTGGTATAGAGGAGGAGATTGGAGTTAAGGAGCCAATTCATTGGGAAGTTCCAGTAGATGGGCACGTGGATCTCGAGGTGGACATTTGAAGCTATATTCTTTTATGTCTAGGCTAGGAAATTTATCTTGAGACAATGTGAAGTCTAGCATATATTGTTATTCCGCTGCAAGATACCACTTCATTCTTTTGGGGATGTAATTGTCATAGTTAGGTATATTCTTTTGGATGCAATGGCCAATGCTTGACCTATTTTTTTTGGATGAAGTTGTAAATGTGATGAATGATGAATGAATTTTTTTTTATTTATGGATCATATTAGTTGCTCTCATGATGTGAATAATTTTAAATAGTAATATTGTCCAAGAGAGATTTTAGGGTGTTACAATTAAAAAAAGAAGAGGAGAGTGGGACACCAAACACCCCCTTCTCTTTCCATAAAAATTCTAAACTCGTCAAATTTGAAACCAAATAGATAGTTCAAATGATGTGGCATAATTTAAAAACTTAATTAAGTATTGTTAAACTTCATTATTTAGAATAAATATTTAATGTAATGATAATAATTACGTTATTATCTTCGCATAATATTATTATCTAATTAAAAATTAATAAGTGAACAACTGAATCTCACTTTCTTTATGTATAGTGATTATCACCTTACATAAAATATTATAATTACTAAACTATTTGGAGTTTATTCGCTTACTTGTAAAATTTTTTATTGAATTATGCAACGGTAATAACGCACTATTACGTTTACCTTGATTATTTTCTCCCTTATTTGTTTAGAGTTTAGTACCTGCCACATCATTTAGATCATAATTTTGGTCTAAAATATTTGGTCAATTAGCCTAATTATTTTATTGTTTTTTTTTAATGGTAGTCAAATGTCGGAAAGATGAATAATTATAACTTTGAATGATGAATAATTTACAAATAAAATTTACAATTGACTTTTATTCTTTCTAAAGGAATTATTTATATCTTATGCCCATGTAGTTTGATTTAGTGATACTTATACCTTCTTATATTTCAAAGACTTATATATATAGCCCAATGTAAAGCAACAATTAAGTGAAAAATCAATAATACATTTTGTGTTTTTAGATTTTCTAGTATTTTTCTCCTTTACACATTTTATTGAAATTTTTTCTTAATGCATAGAATATTGAGGGAGAGAAAGAGATTATTTATTTAGGAGAAAACATATACAAATACATTTTATGGTCTAAAGGTATAGAAGTTTTTTTGATATATTTATTTTATTAAAAAGATTTTTTAATTGTTAAAATAGATATACAAATATATCACTCTACATTCTTGTCGGTGAGTATTGCTCCTCAACACTATACAATTATCTATACGAGATTCACCTCACTTACATTAGAGCTGATTGAATTTTGACCATTAACATTAAAAATTTTATGGATAACTATAGAATTGTATACAAAAGTCACAAAGGGGTTATCCATTGATTTCTAAAATGTAGAAATGATGGTTTTTTTTGGTTCAAGAGCGTTCGGGCCAGTATATATGTACCACGATTAATTTTTTTTCTAGTCCGGTTAAAGATATATTATTTATACAAAAATTAGGGTATTCATGAGCGATAAATTTTTTATGGCCTGACCTTAAAAAATTATCAAAATTCAAATTCAGAATATTTGAGTTTACATCCCATTCTTGCTATCGTTTGAACTACCATTTGGAGTTAGAAATAATGTTTTACATCTATTGAAAAAGAATAATTTACATTTTGAAAATATCAAGGGGTGACAGTTGGATAAAGCTATAGGTTAGGGGGTGTGATTATAATTTACCTTATATGAACAAAAGCACAGCTGGAATCACATGGGCGTTGTTTGAGCGGTGGGTCCTCCTCTCTCTCCTCCTTTTTCCGACCAAAAGACTATGAGCTGAACAAAGTTCCCATCTCCATCCTCATCCCCTCCTCCACTCCCTCCCCTCATTCTTCCTTTCTCGCCGGAAAAGTATGGCTGACGATAAGGTAACTATCATATCCACATCTCCCTGAAAGTATTTTTCTCGATCTGTTATGGTATATGTATTTTCCGTTTTTTTCCAAGAAAAATTATGGAAAATGAACGAATTTTTTTGAATTATTTTTTTAATGATAGAAAACACGACAATTTTTTCCTCAATTGAGTGTTATTTCACCATTAGACACAATAATTTACGAGATTTATATATCTATCATACTTTTTCCTTGGTTTTCTTGGGAAGAAAACAACGAATCGGGGTTTCTTGAATGAGTTTTGTTGACGTTTTATTTCTTGATTCTGGATTTTCTGGGTCAGTTTTGGTTTTATGGTTTGACTTAGTGAATCTCTTGTTATTGTTGTCTCGTTCTTGGTATATAACTTGATCTGAGAATTTTAAATTTTTTTTTGGCTTGTGTCGATATCTGATCTCATCTGAGCTTACTTGGTTTGATGATTGCTGTTCTGAATGCTTTTGCTTTAATTTTACTTTAGACGTTTTATTTGATTTTAATTAGTTCATTACCACTTCAATTACTTCAATAATGCTTCAATATTATTCTGTTTTAGTTTGATGTCTTATGTTTTTTTATTTATTTTGGTTTGTATCAAAAATAATTTTTTGTTGGCATTAGTTTCAAATAATGGGTCTGATTATATCTATCTTGTTTCATCAATGCTTTGCTGATTCACTTGGATTATCTGTATATTTTGACTCTTCTTTCACACCTTTGGTTATATAATTTCTATACTTGTTTGGTTTTTGTTTCCGTGAATGTAGAATGGTTTATACTTCTTCCTATGTACATAGTGCTGTCCTGTCTTGACATTTTGATGACGTATGTTTTGCAGGAGATGACTGCCTCCATTGTGGATGGAAATGATGCAGTCACAGGTCACATCATTTCCACAACCATTGGAGGAAAAAATGGAGAACCCAAACAGGTAATGCTACACTTTTCAAAACCATTTTATAACTGGCTGTGAACATACCCTGTTTGTTGTTGACAAATTAATTTTTATTGGAACCCCCAAGTAGTTGGAATCAGGCTGTTGCATTGAGATTAAGCTTTCTCTTACTGTATTTCCTTATAGAAAGGGAACATGGCATGCTCATTAACCATTCTCAAGGAAGTAGGGGCCTGTTTGGTTTGTGTTTCAAAAAATAATATCCGAAAATAGTTTTTTAAAAGAGTTTTAAGGAAAGGTTTTTAAAAATTTTTAGATTGCAAAACCTGTTTGGTTATATATTTTTGAAAATAATTTTAAAAAACAAAATTTATAAATTTTTTTTTGACAATAATCTCAATTTCCACCTCTACTTCACTGTCTCTCTCTCTTCAGCCCTCTGTCTATCTCTCAGTCACCCTGACTCACCCAAAAAAACCACCACTGGAGCAATAAACTCTCTGTCTATCTATATCCTTCAACTCTCTGTCACCCAAAAAAACCACTACCGGAGCACCCAAAAACCCACAACCACCCAAAAAAACACCATCGAACCACCAAAAAAACCACCATCGAACCACCCAAAACCACCTACACAACAACCACCAAACCCAGAGCCACCCAAAAGAGAGAGAAAGAGGCGGAGAAGAAGTTGCGAAAGAGAGAGAAAGAGGCGGTGGAGGCACAGCTATACTCAGATCTGTGTATATGCACAGATCTGTGCATATACACAGATCTGTTCTCTCTTTTTTATGAGGCAGTGGAGGCAGCTCACTGAGGAGGTGAAGGCAGTGAGGCGGTGGAGGCAGTGGATGCAGTGAGGCGGTGGATGCAGTCAGGTGGTGGAGGCGGTGGAGGCAATCAGGTGGTGGAGGCAGTGAGGCGGTGGAGGGAGCTTAGCGATGAAGGCAGTCTCTATTTTTTATCACCAATGAAACTCGAAGGGGAGACCTCATTAATTTGGGGACAAGTTGTTTCCTTTATTTTCATTTTGCCTTAGAAAACAATGAGAACATCATTTTGTTGTTCCCTAAAATCACATCTCATTTTCCAAAATTTTCATAAAATTGGAGAACAAAAAAACTAAACAAACAACATCTCCTTGTTTTTAGAATTTTGAGAACAAAAACCAGTTTTTGAAATCCAAATCAAACACGCCCTAGATGTTTTAAGTTGAGACCCAGTTTAGTTTTTTTTTACATTGGAAGTTTATTGGTGCTATGCAATGCTCTCTGCAGACTGTCAGTTACATGGCAGAGCGTGTTGTGGGGACTGGATCATTTGGAATTGTTTTTCAGGTGTGCATATATCGGTTTTGTTAGTATTCCGGTTTTAGCACCACATTTTGTTTTTTTTTTCCCATGAATTGAGTACTTTTTTCATTCAGGCAAAATACCTGGAAACTGGCGAGACTGTTGCTATAAAGAAGGTTTTGCAAGACAGAAGATACAAGAATCGTGAACTGCAGTTGATGCGCACGATGGATCATCCCAACGTGGTGTCTCTGAAGCATTGTTTCTTTTCAACCACAAGCAATAATGAGCTTTTTCTCAATTTAGTCATGGAGTATGTCCCAGAGACGATGTATCAGGTTTTGAAGCATTTTAACAATGTGAACCAGAGAATGCCACTCATCTATGTAAAACTTTACACATATCAAGTATGTTGACACTTCTTTCTAGTGTTTTATCATTGTCTCTTTTTTTCTTGCTGATATTAATTAAGGAAATTTCTCAGATGTTCAGGGGGCTGGCGTACATGCATACTGTTACTGGAGTATGCCACAGGGACTTGAAGCCTCAGAATGTTCTGGTATGCACTTATCTAACTGTTTGCTTGAGATAAAGGAGTGTTGTTGTCTCATTGATGTATGACTGCTCTCCACAGGTTGATCCTGTCACTCACCAGGTGAAAATCTGCGATTTTGGAAGTGCAAAAATGCTGGTAAGTGCAATGCTTTCATTTCCTTTGCCGAAAGGTTCTTTTTAGCTGAACAATAAAATTTTTCCTAAGCTTTTCTATGTCCTTGTTTCATTGTGTTTTTTTGCGAGTCTAAATATACTGAGATACCACCGTTGACTATGTTTCATGTGCTCTGTCTCATTTTAATGGCCATAACATGTTAAAATGTCAGGAGTTAGTTGATAGGTTCTGTTTTTTTATAGTATAAGATGATGAAATGATGAACACGATAATTTGCATTTATGTCTGATATCTTACTGCTTTTCTGATCCTGGATTGCCGATGTGTTGGTTCTTATTTAATAATAAGGACTGTTGAATTCTCTTTGCTTTTTTTTTTGGGGGGGGGGGGTCTAAATAGATTGGAAGAGATTTTGTTAGCCTTTTTTATTTTCTTCCGGAGCCTCTTCAATATTTGAGGTTTGAATGACTATATAGAGTGTTATGTGCATATTTTTTATGTAATCTATGAGTTAATTATTGGAAAATTATTAGTGAGTTAGATAGTAATAGAGTATTTTGTGGATAATTTTCTAGATGGTTACTAAGCTAGTGGAGTCGTGAGGTAGGTTAGTTATTAAGGTTATTTTTATCATCTTGTATTTGAAGGCCTTTCTATCAATGAAATGAATATGTTGGATTTTTAGATAAACTTTTTTGTGAGGTTTTGGTGATTAAGTTTTTCTTGAATTGAACCATCAGATGTTTCCATCCCCTCAAAGTGGATTTTCTCCCCCTATTTTATTTTTTGTTTATTTTCTAAATTCCTCAAAGTGTACACGCAACATAGTGCTTGGATATATCCTCACTTAAATCCTGGCTTGATTGATTTTCTAGATTTTAATATTGATGTTTTTTTTACTTGTGGATTAGACTTGAAAACAGAGTATTGTGTGAAATTTTCAATTTCTGAAGCTCAAGTTAGGTAAAGCTGTAGTTAATTAGTTAATTTTTCTTTTCTCCGGCTTTTGGATTAGCATTGGGGTTGTATGGAAATTGCTTTCCTTTCACCTGTTCTCTTTATTCAGTCGCTGCCAACCATCTATCTGAAGTAAATACCCAATAATATTCAATTTGGGACAAAGTAATCTAGGAACTGAATCCCAAAATGCTTTGTTGAGAATCAATAGATATGATCCTCAGGCCTGTTTCTAAGTTTTTTGTTCTGTAACCATGTTACTGAATGTCGCAAACACTCATACTTGTGATCTTTGGTAACTAATTGCATTATTGCTCCAGAGGACCAATGCTGATGAAGCTGCACAATTATTTTCTTTCATGCTGATAACCTGTTGTTTACTCTGTTTCTCCCCATATTTAAGACCTTACTACCATGACTATCTTTTTTCTCTAGTAATGCATACACCTGTACTTTATGGTTGTAGTTCTTCCCATAATATTTCCATTTTTTTTCACCATAGATTCAATTGTAATCAGGTGAAGGGTGAGGCAAATATATCATACATTTGTTCGCGATTTTATCGGGCTCCAGAACTCATATTTGGTGCCACAGAATATACAACCTCAATTGATATCTGGTCAGCTGGCTGCATTCTTGCGGAACTTCTTTTAGGGCAGGTTAGCAGCAATTTTCATATGATGGGCTTCCAGACAATAATCCTAAATTATTCGAATCATCTGATGTTTCTATGCTAGTTAGTCTGACTTTTCAGAGTTTCAAATTTTTTACCAGCCTTTGTTTCCTGGAGAAAATGCAGTGGACCAGCTAGTAGAGATTATCAAGGTACAGACTGTTGGATTTTTAGTTCAAAGAAGTCATGTAAATTAGGTGATCTTGTTGTAGTTTTTTATATTCTACGTTCCAGGTTCTTGGCACACCAACTAGGGAAGAAGTTCGCTGTATGAATCCCAACTATAATGATTTTAGGTTTCCTCAAGTAAAGGCGCACCCGTGGCACAAGGTATACTTTTCATCCTCTGTTATCAAAAGTTCACATTATGTTTAGAAGTTTCTGGTGTTCTAGCAAACCGTCAGATGTAATTAGGGTGGATGGCTGGCTGACTTTCCTATTATGCATAGGCAAAAACTCCACTCTTTGTTTTTCAGCGTTTTGGTGATATATTGGCAAGCTTCTAAATAGAGCGGATGATTTCAAACCGCTATTTTATACAGAAAAATGGCTTGCATTAGAGAATCGGCAATGCCTAGTAATCACAATGGGTAGGAAGCAAAATCAAGACCAAGACAAGCAATAAGCATCCAAGAAGGTGCAGGTGGTTTCAACAGACAGCAGACAGACTTAATAAGGATTCAGGAAGCATCCAGTCTAATGGATATCTGGTTGATCAACACTGTGCTTATAGGGTGAAGAGGAGTCATAGTAGTGGCCGTTAATAAATAATTTGAAAATCTTTTTCACCGAGGGGTTTTTGATATAATAATTTTAGCTTGTCAATCTGAAGAATTCATGCCATAAAAGGTTCTGACACGAGGCAGTGGAGAGTTTGGCTGTTGCTAAAAATTTAAATCTCAATTGGATAAGGAGTTTGATCATGTTGAATGGAGAATATGTTTAAGAGTTAATTGTAGCAGCAGATTGAGATGCTGATAGGCTGTTCTCTCCTAGAGAATACTAAATGAGAAGTTAACTATCAACTCATTTTTTAGGATGACCTATCTGTGACCTAACTCATGATCTTCAGGAACAATTAATAGGATTTCCTGTAAGTAAAAGAAGTTAAAAAATTCAAGGGAGTCCTACAAAAGGATCCTCCTGGAACTACCACTAGATTGGGAGGTCCAAAATTGAATTGATGTGATGACTGCGTAAATTGAAACTAGATTCTGAGTTCTTCATACTCAAAAGTAGCTTTTTTTGCCAGAATTGTTTCTGGCTGTGTACACATTTCTTTTTCTGTTATTTATTTTAATAGAGGAAGCAGAATTTGTTGTTTGCTTTTACTGTCATCATGTAACATTTAAGGCAGTTATAGCCAATATTTACAAATTTGTTCAAGGGACAACAAAAAATATTGGTTTGTCTAGGAGAGGTCAGACATGATTGGGGATTTACCTATCTTGTTTTCAGATTTTCCACAAACGGATGCCTCCTGAAGCAATTGACCTCGCTTCACGGCTACTGCAATACTCTCCCAGTCTTCGCTACCCGGCTGTGAGTTCAATTGTTTTCCTTTATTTCCTATATTTGACCTGTAATAATGTAAAATTGATTATTTATTGCAAGTCATATTCTTCCTATTTTATGTAATATAGAGTATTTTGTGATAATTCTATACTTTGATTTCTTGTCTGCTGCTCCTGTTACTCTTTCATATGACTCAAAGTGTCCATCAAAGAAAAGCCATTACCCACATCATCTCCCCCTTTCTTTATGCACATATATGAATATATCTATTGCTCTCCTATTTTACTAGGCTTTTTCTTGTTGCAGCTAGAGGCATGTGCACATCCTTTCTTTGATGAGCTTCGAGAACCCAATGCTCGCCTACCAAATGGTCACTCGTTACCACCTCTCTTCAATTTTAAACAGGAGGTATGTCCTGTGATTTACAAACTTCTTATTCTTTGTTTTTCTGGCCTGGAAATGCCTATTTGAACAAGGATGCACAAGTAATACTTGAACTAGCTATTTCTCTTTGATGTTTCCAAGTTTTGCTGCTAGAGTGCGAAAGTCAGTGAAGAAATTCTTCCTAAATGAAGAACTTTTGTTGATAAAATTAGAAATATTTGCGAGATAATATGAACTAGAATTCAAAACAAAGTTTCTGTCCGAATTTTAAAGATGGTGAACATTTTCCTGCTTCTTGATTAAAACCGAAGTTTTATTTAGTATTCCTTCAAAGAAAATTGAGTTTCCGAACAGAATGGAGGCATAACATGGTAAAAAAAACCTGATATTCTTTATTACTTTTAATATTGAACTTGATGCTTCTTAGGATAGGTTTTGTTTACCCCTGGTGAGCCCCATCCTAGTTGTTCATTGAACAAATTCTTTCAGGCATCACACGACTGATGTGATTGGAAGCTGTAGGCTATAGTGACAAGGAAAAGAAAAAATCTCGAGTGACATTTCTGGAGTTTGATTAAAGACCAAACTATTAACTTCTTTATTATTACTTGTCTGGTTTGATAACCTATCCATCTTTTGTTGGAATCATGATTTTTACATCAATAAGGGCAGTACTTGAATATCCATGTCCATGTGTTGTGAATATGTAGGTTTTCAGCTATGATCTCTAAAAATCAGAATGATGTCATTATGTGAATTAAATTAGTGAAAATAATTTAGACATAGCATGGCCAATTAAATTTTAGAAAGCACGGATATGGACAGGGGGATATGGCAAACTTAAAAAATATAGGATATGGGTATGGCAAGGATACAACTATTAAAATAATATAATATATTTTTTAAATAATAATAGAGTTGTAATATATTAAAAATAAAGCATATATTATATCAATATTAATAATAATATCTAGCAAATATTAATTTTTTGATTAAAATTGAAATTGATCAAAATAATTATGCATCATTTTCATCAAATATCATTACATCTATTGACATTCATAGTATTTAAGTTACATAACAAAAATTATATTAAAAAAAAAAAATTGAAATAACACCTCTTTTAATAGTCAACAATTGTTCTTAAAAAAAAAATTCTTGGTTGTGCCCTAGACGTATTCTCGCCGTGTCCAACGGGGTTCATTATCCAAGACACTTCTAGTCATGTCGAACACGTGTCCGACATGGCCACGGCATCCCTCCGGGAAATATCCGTGTTTCCTAGCTTAAATTAGAAGAGAAAACTGAATCTTTAGATAGTATTTTCTCTTTAATGTAAAACAGTGTAAATGCTGTCACCATCTATTGGGTGAGCTTGATTTTCTGTTATTTGGCTTTACATTATACATCAATTCATTTAACAAGCTTCGGTGTTATGCCATTCAAAGACATTGATCTGTAGAATTTGGTTTTACAAATTCCGTAATATATGTTGTAACTTTGGCGATTTCGTGTAGAAACACAAAAAAGTGGGGAATTCTTGTTTTTTTTGTTTGTCACCTTCAAAAAATATTATGTTCTTCATGTGACTAAAAATAATGTGGACAGCAGTATGAGTGTTACATACCTCTACCATGTGTCAGACTATGCTTACATTGATTAATCAACATAGTTATAAGCTTTTTTTCAGTCATTTACTTTTTTCAAAGATATTATGGTTAGAAGATTTTAGATGACATCTGTGCTTGCAGCTGTTGTCTGTTTTTTATGATCTGATTCAGGATACTGTACAAAAGCTTTCTAGCCTGTAACCTGTTACTTATAAAGGGTTCACTTAGTAGCAACTTTTTGGTTACAGCTATCTGGAGCCACTCCAGAGCTTGTTACCCGGCTGATACCAGAGCATGTGAGAAGGCAAATGGGTTTACATTTTTTGCATCCCACGGGGACATAAGCATGAGCTCTGGGGGAAAAGGAATTGAGATATGCTAATTAATGAGTTAGACGGGAAGTGATCTGTTTCATCTTCTATTGAGGCCTGCCTGAGCAGCATTTCTTTGTCTACAAGGGCAAGTACAGGACAAGGCAGCGGGATGGCTGCACTGCCTCTACATGATGCTTTCTTTATGCTACTACTTTCTTTTCCTCTTAACATCCCTCATTCCATTCCCCCCCCCCCCCCCCTCGGCGCCTCCTCCTCCTCCTCCTCTAAGAGGAAAAAGAGAAAAAAAAAAAATCCCTTTTTGTAAATGTTTGGTAGTAACTTTTCATCGCAGAAGAAAAGAGGTGTGGATAACCAGGAAGGCCCCAAAAAGAACAGCCGCAACAAAGAGGTGGGCTTGGCGGTTGATTTTGATTTACTTTGTTCTGTTGTATCTAGTGTTTGTTATGGCTGACTACTACTTGCCAATATGACGTGTTACTTATTTTGCGAAGGAATGTTATTACTCTTGTTTGTACCTGTGCCACCATTTTGCCTTTTCCATCCACATCCATTTGCTTTTCTTTTAGATTGTATATGTTTTCTAAAACATTAGTATGGGAAATGATCCGTGTTTGTGTTTATGTTTGTGTAGATTTAATGTGACAACCATGCAAGTTTCATATTGTAGCATTTGTTGTGATTGAGCTTGTTGGCAAATTTGTGAACTCCAGGGAGCGATCCCTTTGGTAGCAGGTGGTTGTTGTTCTCTTATGTTTCTCGAAGGCAGGTTGTTGTTGTTCTCTTATGTTTCTTGAAGGCAGGTGTATTGAATAGTAAAAGAAGATCTTGTGCATGGTTGAGTTAACGGTACCCTAGTGGCTGGTTAGTTCTGGCTATGTGCAATTCTTTAGCCTTGTATGCATATGGATTACGCATGTATTGTGGCTATGGTAATTTGAATGTTGTACATCTATTTTACATACAGGACTCCGACATGTTGATCCGACACTATCGATAAGAAGTTGTTGTAATAATAGTTGATCAATAGGCCTGTTCTCAAAATGTGATATGGATTTTGATTATATGACATGAGTAAAACTAACATATATGCAATATTATCCTCTGACTATAAATTGATGGTGTAAAAAACCGAGAAGTACTGTAATGGATGAGTTGCTGATTAACTGTGATGAGTAAGCAGTAAACTGATAGCTTAAAAGGAAGTAGTATGCAATGGTTTAAGTTGTTTGTCTTGCTAAAGAGCAGGAGTAGTTCACCATGAAAGGGAGGTTCTTACTGCTTGGATGTGTATATTGCTTGGAGAAGAAGAGAATGCAAAGCCGGATTTTTCCTATTTTGGGGTGTTTGGATGGTAGGACAAAGTGGGATATGACTTGTTGGATAGGATAATTTGACCTTTGACCCACAGATACCATGTTTGGGAAGCTACTTTTGGATTCGGATAACTCCATTGGGCCATATCTCGGCCCAACATGAATAGTGAATTTTAGCCTACCTATGTGGGCTTATTGTAACCCACCTGGGAGGTGGGATAAATTCTGGCTGGTAGGATTTGAGCACATAATTATCATTCTACCCCTCATTTTTTAAGCCCCAATAGGATTGAAGTATTGAACTCTTTTTAAGGGGTATGCTGGTACAATTGTAATAAAAAAAATCTAAAATTTGTGGGACCCAGAAAAAATAAACTACACTAGGCCAACATGGAATTAGATAGGAATACATTTATTTCCTTTCCAATTCCACTAGTGAGTTGGATTGGGATGGGTTGGGTAGGTTGAAAAACTCAAATCCTATCCTATCCAACTTCGTGAACCAAACACCATCTTAGGGTAGTGTAGTAACTTACCCTTGCTATATTATTTTATTGTCTTTTATAACAAAATATTCAAGGAATATTTGATCGTTAGGGCGTTTTTTGTCTAAGGCATCATGTAAGCTTTTAAAAACAGTGACTTTTTTGCTCAAAGTAGGATTTTCTGGTGAAATTTTTCTGTTGCTCATTCGGATAGTTTTCATATTAAAGGTCAATTTTGGTGGATGACATGGTTCTAGAGATGTATCTTTGTTCTGCACTGTCTGCATGTCAGCTTGGAGAGATAACCATTATACCTGACCAACACTTTTTCTTCCGTGTTTATAAACTCTGTCCATCCCTGGTTTACTCCCGTCCGTGAATAAATTTGTAATCTCCGTCCTCGTCTTCGTCTACCTTACACGCTCTCGACCCAAGTCCAAATCCAACTTCAAGCTCAAGCCGAAGTCAATATAATTCAAAATTCTAAATAAATTTAACATTTTAAATAATCTAACATAACTATAGAATATTATAACATAATTAAAAAATTTTCATCTACAACATAATCCAACATAATATAATCAAAACCTTGTCTACAACATAATCTAACATAAATATAATTAAAAGCTTGTCTCTCATGTAAATCCAACACAACATCACGCAACACAAACATAATGTAACATAACATAATTCAAATTAAAAAAAATATAAGAGTACAAAGATTTACACTTTTACAAGCAAAAAACATGAAAATAATAAAATAATTTCTAAAAAAAATCATTCAATAAAAAAAATATGTAAATTTGTATTCACATCAATATATATATATATAACGGGTAAAACGGGACGAGATAATGCTCTATTTGGTAGTATAAAAAAATGGAATGATTAAAAGTTGAAAAGATATCATATTTGATAAGGAAGTAAAATAAGAAGAATGGAAAAGTTGATGAATTAACTTTCCTTCCAACTCACCAAAATCAATCCCTCCAAATTCGAAAGAAAAATAGATGGAAAGTTAATTATTTGTGTTGAAATGTATTTTATTTGTCTATATATCTCTTAATATATACATAATATCTTATTTGTCTATATATTTTTAATATATACATATTATATATATATATATTAATTTCATATAAAAATACAATGATAAATATATATATATATATTAAATATTTTTAAAAAAAAAATTTTAAAAATTTAAATTTTAAAAAAATATTTTTTCATCTTAACTAGAGGTGAAAATTTTTGATTTAATGCGATGAAGCGACTTGAACTCGATACGAATTTTATGACACGAACTTGAAAATGAACGGCCACGCGAAAAAAAATATAAAATACTTATATTCAATTCAATCAGTTAAACCCAAAATTGACACCATCAACTCGTTTATTTAAAAATAAATATTTTCTCTATTTTTTTTATTTGTATGGTAATATGAAATTAACACGAATCTGACATGATACGATTCAATTATTACTCTTAATCTTAGTCAACACAAAAAAAAAATTAGTAATTTTTATTTTTCATCCATCTAACCAACTATAAATGAAGGAAAATTTATAATTTTTACTTTTCATCTTTGAAGGATAGAAATTGTATCCTTCCTACTTTTCATCTTTCTTACTATGCCTAGCAATTCTAGACACGATTTGCGAAATCGAAACGAAATCGACATAGATTTAACGGGTTTGAGTGGTTAAGGGGTTAACTAGACAGACCCGTAAAATAAATAAACCGATTTCTTGTTTAACCCATAAACTCGTTTCAACCCGTTTAATCCGTTAACAATTGTACTATAATTTGTTTTTTAAAAAAGTTAAGTTTCTCAATCACTAACTCATTTCTTAGACTCATTCAAATTTAGTAGTTATTTAATGTTTATTTTTTTGCTGAACCATGATTTATTGTTATAGTAAACAAGTCAAAAATGTGTAATGCATGACAAGTTAATGATTTTTCATGTGTACTTGAAATATTCTAACATATTCTCTTATTTAGCGGGATGACACATAGGTTATATCAGGTAACCCGTCTAATAAATAATTTGTGTATGAGTGTGATAGTTGAACTCGTTTACATAAATGAATGAGATACGAATAAAATTTTTTTTGACACAAACTCATTCTACCAGACACGAAACTATTTTACTCAATACGATTGTCAGGCCTACTTCCCACTTTCCATAATTCCTACCAAATGGAGCATAAGTGTCAGTTCATCTCCGTCTTTATCTTTACACGTTTTTATATGAGTATACTCATATATATTTATCGGTAAATATATATGATCTATCTCTGATGTAAACAAAATAAATTTAAACAAATACTAATTTTTACTTAATCCACTGCCATTCGTAATTGGACTACGTCCTCGTCATCTCTATTGTTTACATAGTCCATATCAAGACCGGTCCCCAAAAATATATATATATATATATTTGTCAATACTGTCTATCATGCATGGGAAAGTTTGGAGGAATACAATAGTGAAATCTAACTAGAGAAAAATAAAACAAAATAAAAAATCTTCACTTAGAAAAATACTGACAAAAATAAAAAATGATTTTAAAAAATATTTTCTCTTCCTTAATTACCCTCTGTTCAGTTAGTATTTACAATTTAAGTCAGTTTTTAATAGTGATCACATTCAAGTCGGCCGAAGAGTCAATCAACTCATCTCTCTCTCTCTCTCTCTCTCTCTCCCCCAAGTTGAAATATTCAATCTTTATCCATCTGTATCTCAGTATATATAAAACTCGATCTAGAGAGAGAAAGTGAGGGAGAGATAGAGGCCGGCGAAACGTGCTGGAGTTGAGCTGGAGGAAACAAGAAGACTTAAGACTAGATCTACGTCTCTGTCCACAAGTGTCGAACTCTGGTTATCCAATTTCTGTCGTAGATATCGAGAAATTAATGGGGGTGTTGCTGGTTAGTTGATGTATCAATTCTGATTGTGATTTGTATTTGTATCTTCTTCTAAAAGTGAAAAAAAGGTTCAAATATTCAAAAAATAGTGTTGATTAGCTCCTCTAATTCTCCTATTTTTGGTGTTATTCGCGAGAATTTATATATATACATATATATTATATATTGGCCGGTTGTTTGTGATTTTTTGATAATTTGTTGGAGTGATTTGATTGAGAGGTATGGATCAGGAGAGGATTGATCAAGGAGGGAGTATTGAGAGTTCGAGCAATTTGGATGTTCGCGGTGGGGGTGTGCCTGCAACTGTAATTAAATCGGATTTGGAAGATGAAACTCCGGCCAGTGTTAGTGGGGAAAATGGGAATCCGAACACGAAGAGTAGGAATGTATTGCTGGATGAGATGAAGGTAAATTATCAGAAGAATGACAAGAATTCGTGGGTGATTGATGTGAAGAGTGAGAAAACTGGGGAGAATTTGAATTTGGATGGGGAAAGGGTGTGCAGGATATGCCATTTGAGTCCTGATCAATCACCGGATAATAATAATAATGATAATGAGAAAGCGATGGATTTGATTGAGCTTGGTTGTGGGTGTAAGGATGAGCTTGGTATCGCCCATTCTCATTGTGCAGAGGCCTGGTTTAAGGTCAAAGGGAATAGGTATTTCTTTATCCATCGGTGTACTTTTGGTTGCCTCGTCTACTCAATTTATGCTTGCTTTATAAATTACAGTAATGTTATATTTCTTCTTTGTATTATTTTATTGTAAGTTTTTTCTTGGTAGTAGTTCTAATATGTTCATGCTAGTTTTTTTTTTTCTTGAAAACTGGGGTCTATTTATTGATGATTGAAAACATGTTTGATTATGAGTCAAGGAAATGTGACTACTTTTGAAAATTAGTATTTTAATATTCATATATTTATTTTTAGTATGAAATGAAGACGGTGAGAATAGCTAATTTAAATAGTGACTTAGTTTTCAAAAAAAAAAATAGCTCCTCTAAGTATATATAAAAAATTAGTCTTATAGAATGGAATTTTCAAGTTTCTCTTTGAGGCTGTCATTACTAGTTTGCTACATTATAATCAGATTGTAGTGCCAACTATAATTAGTTTCTAGAGAAGCTGAAAACAACAATGGAAAATGGAAACTGGCTATTTTTCAATAAACCGAAAATGAGGGAGCTTTGTTGTGGTCCAGCTCATAGTTACTAGAAGTCAAAACAAGCTGTAAAATCGACAACAAATGGGATTTGTATTGGCAATTGTTTGATGAAGATCATCCTCTCTGAAAAGTCATGGATTTGATAAGGAAGTAATGCAGTATAACTAACTAAAGAATGCTGGCTTTAATCTTATTATTATCTCAGGTTTATTTATGTTGAAAGGGCATTTTGTATCCATTAGTACCCTCTACAGCCCTAACCTAACTTATGCTGGCTGTTGCCTTTTGCCTTAATTTATAATCTATTCTTGGTCCTATTTTTAGCAAAATAACCTTGTTACTTTCACCGCATCTTGAGATTTCAAATTGTCGTGACATTCAATATTTCTGTTCTTACAATCATGTTTAGCATCTTAGCTTATTGAAATCTTGGCTTGTTATTACCATTGTTGATGTATTGTTTGAGAACACTCCGGTGAGCATTAGCCCTTTGTTTTAATCCTTTTTGCTTTGTAGAGCTTGCAAAACCTTCCCCCCCTCATACCAAAAAGCATCATGAAGAAAACATTATTTATGTTCGTGTTCAATTGTTTTCCGGATTGCAAGTTTTATTTACTCATGATAAATGTTCTTGATGTATGTTATCAAAGCTTTTTTTTCTTATTTTTTCCTTCGTATTCTACTGTTTTGGATATCGAGGAGTTGGATTGTTTACCTCTTCTCCTTGTGGATATGTAGTTTGCATGGATATTAAAATTTGATAGATAATCTGCCTAATTCAGTTCAGATGATCACCATGAAGCTGTTTACCACATATTATGGGTGGAAGAACACATTAATTATGATGCCAATCTAGTAAACTCTAGTACTTGAGAAAAGGTATGGTGAACTCTTTTGAAATTCAACTGTAATGATAAGTTGAGAAGATTTCCATAAAAATATTTATTGTACACTCAGGAGATCAGATGAATTTGGATTTAGCCCAAAATACCTTATCTGCTGTTCTCTCTTAGCATTTACCATATGAGAAAATTTCAAGTGATAATCTAGTATTTCCTCAACATCTTTTCTTTCCTACAATTGAGTGACACTAGATATAACTTTTTGGTTATCTCAAATGTTTAAATTCATTTGATCCTGGTCTTTTAGTTGTTGCTGCTTTTCAAGTTGAGATTTCTATAGTTCAGAAAATTATTCGGTTTTGAACCTTATCTTCCTTCACTTTCTTTGGTCAGTTCAACTTTGCAATCATGCTGTTGTGTGATTCATTTGATTCTGTTCTCTTTGGTTGGTGAGGAAGTGTTATGCATATATGTATCTGGCAAGATATCAATATATTTTGATATCTGAAGATTGAGGAGGGGAAAAACCCTTACAGTGCTTATATTCAGAGTTCCAGTATCTGAAATTTATAGTATGATTTTGAGTCAGTTATAACTGTGGGTGCTGATAATTAGTACTAGTATTACAGGATTAAATAAAAAATGAAATCCTAATCCGTCTATAGTTCTAGTGACATTGGTATTTTGTTCGGAGAAAGCATTAAGTCATTTCAAAGTGTCGCTATTTGTGCTGGTCTATTGTGAAAATAAGAAACTGTCACCCACCCACATGCATGCACGAGATGGTGAAAGAGGTGGGAATTTTCAATAGACGGGCAAGTAAAAAGATTGGCTGATCAATCTGAATCTTATTGTAATTCTTTTACAGTTTCTCTGAAGGCTAGCAAGAAGTATTATTCTCAAGTATTTTTATTCTGCAAATTGTTAATGCAGATTGTGCGAAATATGTGGCGTGACTGCAAAAAATGTTATTGGTGTTGGAGATGACAGATTTATGGCAGAATGGAACGAGAGGAGATCTAGTAGTAATGGTACTACCTCATCAGAAAGGAGGTGTGGATGTTGGCAGGGACAGCCATTGTGGAACTTCCTGATGGCGTGCCTGGTAGTAGCCTTCATGTTACCATGGTTTTTTCGTGTAAATATGTTTTGACGAAATGAAGTTTAAAGGATATTACAATGCATCAATCACCTTTTCTCTGGTTACCTATTTATGGGTGGTTTACAGTTGCGATGAAGTTGATTGTTGGGTGGTTTGAGTCGTCGGGTACTCTTTTAATGGTTATATTGCTCCCTTCTTAGGCCTTACATTTGGTCGGAGCTGCATTATTGGTTTCAAATTTGCCGCGTTGACAGCGTAAACAAGAATGGCTGTGACAGGAGGTTGGCTCATTTTCCCAGATGTTTCTTGTTATTTGGTAAGAACTCTTACATACCATAGGCTGGAAATGTCATTAGAGCAAAATGGAGTTTGTTCACTTTTCTTTTTGAATTTTGTTTCCCTTTTTCCTTTTCCTTTTCCTTTTCTTTTACTGGTTAAATTTGTTGGAGCTATGCAACATGCAGTCTCTGCATGGTGTTTCTTATTCCTACAGTTTCTATCGTAAATTTGTTAAACATTATTGCATTTAGTGTTAAGAGTAGAGTTGGCATGCATGCCTGTGTTATTTTGGTTTACTTTGTTGTGGATTAGGCTTCAGTGTCTGTGAATAAGAATGTATGTTGAATTGTAGTCAAGGAGCCCCCCCCCCCCCCCCCCCCCCCTCCTATTACTATCCAAATTTATTTACCAAATTTTATATCTCAAATGATTTATAATATTGAATGTTTGGCAGAGTTACTGGACCCCTGATTTAACAATTCGATTGTAATCTAGCTGGTTAGTGGTTAGGACTTTGGAGACCCGGGTTCGAATAGGAATACTTTTTTTTTTCACTTTCTTCTTTTTTTTACAAATTTGCCCCTTCAATACAAGGACTATATGGTCTTTCCATGTCTTCCCCATTTCGTTTTGTTTTGGTCAAAGACATGCACAAATACGCAGAACAATGTCCACACATCATAAGCAACTCAAACAACTGACCAGGAGAGGGACTCACCAACCAATTCCTCTTAAAAGAGGAACCGGGTGTAGGTCACTTATTTCCCATTTCTTCGAGGGCTTGTTTAGAAGGATTTTTGAGAAGAGTTTGGATTGATTTCTCCAAATTCTTTCAAACTCAAATTCATTTTTGCAAAGATGAGATTTAACATTGAATCTGATTCATACTTATATTTGGTATGCAATACATATAGATACGTAGGACTCACAGATATATTATAATTATTAATAATTATTTGTCATGTAAATAATTATTTTATCTTTAATCAATCTAATTTATATTCATGTTAAAGGGTACAATTATTTTTAAATATTTAACCCTTGGACCCATTTTTTTAAACATTTTAGGTTTGACGAAACTCACGATCATGAATTTAATAATCGGATCAATTACGAGCCAAATTTAAAAATTTGAGATTAAATTTTCAAAACAAATATATAATTTGAGAATCTTTTCGACTATTTTTTTCAAACCTATCTTATCAAGTCTCCTCACACTTTCTTACCAAACAGCCCGAGGGTACGACACTTTTACACCGTAGAAAAAATTCTTAAGGGTCAATTATATTTTATATCTCAAAGTTTACGCCTAATTTTTATTTTGTCTCTAAATGATTAATTAAGACAATCACATCCTTAAACTTTTAGTTCTTTTTCGATTAAGTCCCCCTAGTTTAAATTCGTTAGCAATTTTAAAGGAAAAGATTCATGTGAGCATAATATGACCAAATATGTTATTAATTTTGAACAAGTTGACTTTAAAATTAAAGTTTATGTATTAAAATTACATTTTGTTCATTCATTTGATATAGATGTGAGCCTTCGATTTGATATATTAACTCATCTTATACATGTTTGACTTGTATTTGTATTTATTTAGTCAAAATTATGTATGTGATTGTGTGACAAGTATGAAGGAATCTAAATGTAATTGATCTATTTATTTTTAGAAGACAAATTAATGGCTGTTAGCTAGTGTGGTGTGTATTGATACAAAATTTTATCTTTAAGGATAAAAATTAAAATTTTTGATCTTTGATGGTATAAATTTAGCTTCAAACTTTCAGAGTGCAATTTACAATTAACTCTAAAAAGTATGCTGGCTTCTAAAAAAAACCCATATTTTTTTATTTGATTGAGGATAATATTAGAAATTTTATTTTTAAGGTATAAATTAAAAAAACAAAGATCCTCGGGTTTAAAGTGTCATTTATCCTAGCCAACCCCGCGGTGCCAAAATAAAACCCTAGCCCCCCGCCTAACGCCTCTTCCATCTTCTCTCGCCCCCCCGTCCGCTTCTCCTCAACAGCAGCCGCCTCTGATACCGTCCATTCACCATGGTCTCTCTCTCTCTCTCTCTCTCTCTCTCTCTCTCTCTCTCTCTCTGTTTTGACATGTATGTGTGCGTGCGATGTAGTGACTATATCTTTTTGACAGGCTTCAGAGAAGAAGCTATCGAATCCAATGCGAGAAATCAAAGTCCAGAAACTCGTCCTCAACATTTCCGTCGGCGAAAGCGGCGATCGTCTCACCCGTGCCGCCAAGGTCCCTGCTTTCTCTCTCTACATATATACATATACGAAACGCCCATGTATTTGTGGTTTTTTTTTTTACTGACTTTTAATTTTTTAGGTTTTGGAACAACTGAGCGGCCAAACTCCAGTCTTTTCCAAAGGTACTACAATCCTCTACACACTTTCAGACCATTCTTTAGCTCCAATCAGTTTGTGTTTTCAATTATATTTGTTTGTAGTGATTGTTCTTTTTGTGGGGTTTGATTGGAATAGCGAGGTACACGGTGAGATCGTTTGGAATCAGGCGTAACGAGAAGATTGCGTGCTATGTGACTGTTAGGGGAGACAAGGCAATGCAGCTTCTGGAGAGTGGGTTGAAGGTTAAGGAGTACGAGCTGTTGCGCCGCAACTTCAGTGATACTGGCTGTTTTGGGTTCGGTATTCAGGAGCACATTGATCTCGGTATCAAGTGAGTCAATATTGAAATGATTGTATTTATCTCTTGATATATTTGTTGTTTAGTTCTTGCTTGAGCTCTATTTGTACATTAATCCACATAGTAACCTGAAATACCTGTGTGTCTTATGGCTCTGATACAAATTTGCTGCTATTTGATTGAGTTGATGTTCCTCATCAAAAAATACGAAATGGGTGGTTATTAGATTGCAAATTGCATGTGATTTTAGAGTGATAGAAAATACTGGAGTTGGGAGTGGTGGCTCAGATGGTACCAATTCTATGATAGAATAGACACTTTCTGGTGGGTTTAGTCATTTGAGGTTGGAAGATGGTGTACTTCTGTTTATTTTGTTCAAATTGTATAGGAGCATTTGTAGGGGTTTATGTAACCAATATTTTGAGATGCGATGGTAAACATGGTGTGTCGGCTGTAGCATGATTTCTCAAGGAATAACCTTGAGCTCTTCTAGAAATTTTCTATATTGTTTTTTAAGAAAAAGAATTCACATTCAGCTGTTGTTCTTTGTCTAGATCTCGTATCTGTAATTGAAGTACAATTGGGCTTTATGGCTCTCAACGTACCCTTTCCTCGTATATTCTGCAGAATGATGGATAAAGCATCACTACTTACCAATTATTGAGGAAAATTATTCTGTTCCTAAATCTTTCAAATAATCACTACATGTTTCGACAGTAAATCATGCAAAACGATCCAGCATCAAAGAGTGGTTTCTCATGATAAACCCAAAGTTGGGGAAAGTAGTAGTTGTACATAAAATGCCACAAATCCAGTCTGACTGTTGTTGAGCTAGGGACAGCGTTGCACCTATGATTCAGATTTTAAGCTCTCCAAGGGCATTTGCCTATGTTTGTCCGGGAAGAATGCTTTCGAAACATGAATTTACAAATCTGTTAATTTAATGCTTGTTTGGTTGGAATTTAACTTGGTATAGTGTCTTGTAGGTTTTGAGTGATGAGCTTGTTATCCTCGTGTTCTCCTTATTTTAGACCCGACTTGTTTTTTGTATTATATTGACTGGCAATTGACCTTGGCATGCTAGAATTGACTGTTACTTTGGCCCTTTTCTTTTCCTCTTGCCAGGTACGACCCTTCAACTGGTATTTATGGGATGGACTTCTATGTGGTTCTAGAACGCCCAGGCTATCGAGTGGGTCGCCGCCGAAGATGCAAAGCCCGTGTTGGAATCCAGCATAGAGTTACAAAGGAGGATGCAATGAAGTGGTTCCAGGTCAAATATGAGGGAGTAATCCTCAACAAAGCTCAAACAATTGGAGGTTAGAGAGATCCTCAACATCATCGGAAAAGCTTGTTCTTCTGTGTTTTCAAAAGGCTTAGTTAATGTTTCCTGGTACTGAACTCTGAGAGTTGTCACTATTTGTTTTTTACGGTGGAAGAATGCTTAAAGAACCCTATGTGGTGGTCCTATCTATTGTGTTTGAACTATAGTTGCATTTACTAATGGGACTAGAAAACGCTATCTTTTTAACTATCATTGTTGTCCCAATGTTGTTTACCATGTGTTGGACCAGTGGTTATGAAATTTTCTCCCATTGGCACGTTAGTATTTGTATTGCTGGAGTATGTGCCTTGATGCCTAACACAGATAAAATGCCAGGGCGCAACACTGATCCACAATACGAGTACATCTGATTGATGTGTGTTGGTTGCTGTTGTAAGAGGGAAGAGCAGAAAGGGGAGGGGGGGGGGGGGGGGGTGAGCATATTCCTAAAGAAGCGTTGTGTTGGGACACTAGTTGCTAGTTGGCAAATCCGGACTACGGTACCAAAAAATTATTTTTGGTAATCATACATTTTTTTATTCCATGAGAACGAGACACTTGTAATACCTCTCAATGAGAGCGAGACAAGTGTAATACATCTTTATTTTATTATTTTCCTAATCAATGATTACAAATAGCTTGAACCAACATCTAGGTTTTATAATTTCTACTAGTGTAGCCTAGTGCTGAGCTGCAACATATCACGATATACAAGGTAAACTGAGCTAGATTTCAATAATCTTCAGCGGCGGTTACCAAGATTTTTTAAAGGTCAAAGATCCCTTTCTCAGATCAGAATCTTGGGTAAAAATGCAAGCCCTAGTCTTCTAGAAGAGCATTACATTATATGGAACGATATCAACTTTCTTATAGGAGTACAATTATGGTAGTGAAGGAGGTACCATAGTACCGAAAAATAGCTTTTCAATATCGTTGTATTGAGCTTCTTCTAGGTGTCTTTTTTTTTTTGATAAGAAAACAAATTTTCATTTCATAGAAAGTGAATAATGTACATAAATGGCGGATAAGAAATCCACCAAAAACAAAAGAAAAACAACAAAAATAAAATGAAACTAGCTCAAAACTACTTTCCAATTATGCTGTTAAACCGAAAGAGAAATGTCCGTAAATTGATTTGAAGTATTCACCCAAAGAGAACTAAAATCTTCACTCTATCCCACAACTCCTCTCTATCCTCCTCCATGCTTTCAAAAATTCTGCAATTTCTCTCCAACCAAACCACCCACATAACAGCCATAAAAGCACAGAAGTTGCAGAGAAAACCTTTTAAACGCATCACAAAAAGAGATACACAATCCGGAGGAATAACCCACATCAAATTTGCTTCTCTCAAAAGCTGATACCACAAAAACATAGCTGTAGGACAATGAGGCATTAGATGATCAATTCTTTTGTTACTCTCTTTGTATAAAACACACCAATTAGGGTGAAAGATAACTGTTGGGCTCTCTTTTTTGCAACAAATCACATGTATTCACCTTACCATGGGCAATAATCCAAGCAAGCACCAGCACCAGCACCTCCTTCTAGGTGTTTGATAAATAAATTAACAATGACTTGAGATAAAATTAATCAGTTCTTTGTGTGTTAGAATTTAGATTATTTCAAGACTATTTAAGAGAGGCATCTTGAATTCTAGAGGGCATTTTCCAAACAGAAAAGTAATCATATAGGAGAGAATGCTCTATTCCACAGAAGTTGCACTAAAAAAAAGTAAACAGATTAAGACCAAAAGGGTAAATAGAAAAATTGAGAAAGCAATTGAATCCAATTCAATAAGTGGATGAAAAAGGAAAATGAAAATGGCAGTGTGACACTTAGAAATGAAAGCATAAAACATTTAAAGACAAAAAGGAACCTTCTTTAACTGGGATAGACTGCCTTTTTCTTCAAGTCCTCAGCAACTCCACTAGCTCACTCTTCTTCAGTTTCGAGTAACCTTTGATTCCCCTAGATTTTGCTAGTTCTTTCAGAGCAGGCAGTTTCATTTCCTCAACTTTCTGCAAACCTGGCTCCTTGTCACCTGCTGGGCTAAGCGATGCTGTACTCTTCAGCTCTTCTTTTCCTCTCAGACTTGATGGAGATGGAATTGGAGACCTCTTCACAAAATTAGATGGTGGCCGAGTTAGCTTATGGTCTGGTACTGATGGATGATCCAATTTCTCCTGGCTCTCTGATGGACCTTTTCTCCGAGGCGACGCCATGACCCTTCCCTTAGTTGAAGCTCTTTCTACAGAAGTTATTAATATCCGATCAAAAATTGTTAGGGAATGAAAGAAGACAATCCCATTTGGTATTAATGCCATTGACAGCAACATCAATGCTGTGACTTGTTATTCACTTGCCAAGAAAGTGAAATAATTTATGTGGGGTTGAAAAAATAATGTTGGTAAAGATGAGACAAGGGCAAGTAAATGGTGCGCTGGTGCTGGTGCCTGTGCACGATTACAGGCACTGTTAACTAAAAATAGAGAAAAGAAATAATCTTTTGTAAGGGTTGTTTTTCCCCTTTGGTTTTCTTAGTAACCAAGCAATGCTGTAAGGTTCCGTGTTTTTTCTCCCTCTTGCACGATAATTTTTGAGGTAAATGGAATACTACTAGTTTAGAAAGATTCCAGCTGCAAAACTAAAACTAGATCACTTCCATTAAAAAATAACTGAATTTTTTTTCCTCGCTAGCAACAAAAGAAATATTCATTTGCATTACCTTTTACTTGCTCCCTTGATTGACGAAGAACATCCAAAACAGATTCAGCCGAGTGCTTATCCTCCGATGACTTGGAACTTCTTTTCTTGGAACTTCTAGAATCTCCTTTCGAGATTGAAGACTTTATTCGTCTAAAGAGAGCAATGATCTCTTCCTGACTTGATGAGCTGGATAATTTATCATCAAATGATTGAGGTATCTCATTCCCATTATCATTTGGTGTTCCTCCTGTGGTGGAATTTTTTCGAGGAGGTCGGCCAGTTAACTGAGCAAGGTCCTTATGAGAGGCAAACAATGAAGGTCCATCTGCAATCTCTGCCAAATTTAACAAGCTGCATCAAGAAATGATTCCTCAGTTTGAAGTCCAGGTAAATTCTTTCCCAGTACTAACTATAAGACTTAGCAAGCAACATTGATGGGAATATAAATGTACCTATATGCTTGAATGCAGACAAGTGCAATTGATATGCAAATTCACCTTCTACAGATGACGTAAGCAGATTATGAAAAGATAGCAGTACTTTGACAAAAAAATAAACCAAAAAACATAATTAATACAATTTTACCTAAATGAAAACCTGAAAAGAAAAATAGAAGTACATAAATAAAGTAGGAACTCAAGCACAAAGGAGATCAGGATTGGCGAGAACAGCTATTCTCCAATCTTTTAAAGATATATGGATGAATTAGAGAGATATCACAGTGGTCAATCCCAGGGAAACAATTCATATCACAAACCATGTAAGAGAATCACAGAATTTGCATCCAAAAATGTGAAAGAATTATTTGCAAGAGGACTCTTTAGCCCGGGGCGGAACTAGAATTTCTTTTTAGTGGGGGCAACCATCTAGTTAAAGAGAACCAGAGGCAACCATCAAGTTAAAGAGAATGATTACTCAACAATTATTAAAGTTCGTTACATCTAGTGAACATATTTATTATCTCAAAATTTCATTCTCTATAAAATTTTTTTTCCTAATCTAACATCTTTTATAAAATAATTCTTCATATTATTTTTTTTATTTTCAAAGATTTCACATATAAATCACGTGAAAAAACAATAGCTGACTATGAAAAAATAATATAATTTTTTTAAAGCATTAGAATAAAGACAGTTTTCATAGAGAATGATATTTTGACATATCATTTTGTGAGTGTGCTTGTCAATGATAAGATTTTGACTCATCCGAATGGCAATTTGTCTTGAAAACCCTATTTTGAATCTAATCTAATTATTCAACTGATTTCGCTTTTTTAATCCATATATATATATATATGTATATGGATTTATGTGTGTGTGTGTCGCATTGTAATTTTAATTCAATTTAATTGTTTAGTTTTATCAAATGTTTACATATACATATTTGTGTATGGATATCAAATTGAATCAAAGTGAATTGAATTGAATCATAATTAGATCAAATTTTTGTATGTGCCTAAATCTAAAATCTTAGAAGGTGATGTAGTATATTTGAACTTAGATATTGGTCAAAAATATATATCTATGTCTTAGTAATCGAATTCGAAGAAGGATTGATTCGATAACTTAAGTGAGTCTAGTGTTATTTAAGGCGTAAAGCGAACCGAAACGACCAAGACTCCTAACGCGTAGGCGAGAAGCAAAGGGAAACGAAACGATTCACCGAAGCAAAACGAACAGTTAAAAAAAAATATATATATTTTAGTTTAATTACTTATACACATCTAAGTTCTAATTTATATATACTAAATATTTAAATGCAAGTAAAACCATAAACATTTAAATTAAAACAAACACTAATAATATCTCAAATCTTAATAACAGTTATAACTTAAACATTTAAATTCAAACAAACACTAATAATATCCAAAATTCTAATATTTAAAAACATAAGACACACAATTCAAGCAATTAAAGAAACTATCTCAAGGACTGAGAAATCAATCAGGAAACACAATCAGAATTAGGAAATCAGGGAAAAAAAAAAGGAAAAAAAAACCAGTAGGAGCAGCAACAAAGAGGAAGAAAATCCAGAACCAACAAACGAGCAGCAAAAAAACCAGTAGGAGCAGCGACAGAGAGTCGATCGTCTCTGTCAGGAAAAAAAAAAAGGGAGCAGAAATGTTATTAATTAGCAACGATCAGCGAGGAAGAAGATCCAGAACCAACAAAAGAGAAGAAAAAAAGAGAAATAGAAGAGAGAAAAAAAAAATGAGACTAACCTGTGCAGCGATCAGCGAGAAAGGAGAGTCTGTCAGTTTGTCCAGCCTCCAGCGTAAGCAACGAGCAGTGAAGAAACTAGTAAGGAGCAGCGACAGAGAGTCGATCGAGTCCAGCGATCGTTTCTGTCCATCGAGTCCAGCCAGTGATCGTGTAGGAGTCCAGTGTGAGGAGCAGCGAATAAATGTGATTTAAATTAGGGTTTGGAGTTTTATTTATTGGATAAGGGAATATTTCGGTGTATCACATCTTATAATTTTTTTTTTCAATTGCCCAATTCAATAGTCCAAATCAAAAATAAAACATTTCGCTTCAAATAATAAAAGCGTTCGCTTTTTCGCTTAGCGCTTAAGCGCAAGGCGAATGCTTTTCTCTTGCTTCACGCAAGTTCGCTTCGCCTGGGGTCTTCCAGGCGAGAAAGCCTCGCCTCGCCTCGCTTCTCGCCTAGGCGCGCTTTTTAAAACACTGAGTGAGTCATTGTAGATGAAATAAAGATAACTAGAGATTAAATAAAAAATTGTGAGAATAAGTCTCTATGAGCGAACCTTGAGTCTAAATTTTTAGTGCATTAAAAAAAATGAGTGGGGGCAAGTTATTAAAAAAATTAATTTTTATTATAATTTTAACTTAACCCTACAAATTTTCAGAATTTCAGTGGGGGCAACTGCCCCCACCCTGCCTCTGCCCCTGCTTTAGCCCGACTTACCACACAAACTATTAGAAAACCTCTCACTTCTAAGTTCTAAACATGGTGTGGCCACACTAACACATCCCTATTAAAACTGAAGTAAAAAGCTCCAGCTTGTTTGGTTCCAGTGCTACAAGGATGAAAAAATGTAATATTAGAAATTTTTAACCACTACGTGCAACATCAACAGTATCATATATCAATGAAAAACTATTAAATTACCAATCCGATGAGAGTCTTAACTAAATGATTGACTAACGATTGAAGTATTATGTAGCTAATTGTTATTAATCAAAGCCATTCACATATTCCACATCTAAGCATTCTATTCATAAAACCTCTTCATGGATATATTACTATCTTCACCCTCAACAACAATTGTGAATCGTGGCACCGCCATAATTAAGCTCTCCATCCAAAACAGGAGACAAGAATTATTGTACTGTGCTTAAGGAAACCCCAAATCACCAACTTTAATATCAGCCCTAGAGTTCTTGATCATCATACATGTCTAATAACCGTAACCGCAATATTTACCCAGAGAAACAAAGGCAACCCTAACAAATCTCAAGCAGAATATATAGCTCAAAATCACATCTTTATATCTAATAATGTTACTAACTAGATCTTTAGGAATTCTACAACGCAACTTGGAGTACAACAACGACAACAACAGCAAGAAGCCGTAAAATAAAACACAGTTTTTTACCAAGAAAGCACCCATTTTCACAATATGCTTTAAGAGTTCAAATGCAGCATAAATTATACTTCTAACAGCTGCTATTTCATTACCAGACAACATTCACAATTATTTAAAAGAACCAAAGAAAAATAAAATACATGGGTTTTTGTGTGAATAAGAATCTAAGGTAAAGCTTGTGAAAAGTTTTTACCTTTCGTATAAAGAGAGGGTCTACCCAGATTGGGTTTGCTCAAGACATATAGAGAGGGCAACCGAAGAAGAGAGTGAGGATAGAACACAGCTGAATCCATTGTTTGCTGGTGAAATTTTCCTGGGAAAAATCTCTGGAGTATTTGCTCAGGAAAATCAGGGATTCTTGAGAATCTCAAACGATAGATTCACCCCAGAAATGATATGGGTAGGCCCACAAATGGGTATGTATGATGTATCTGTACACGTATTCAAAGGAACTCTTTCATTCCACGCGTTTTTTGGAGATTCATTGAAACGCCGCCATGTTTCATTCCACGAGTTCTATTGAATTAAAATTTAGGAGAATCTCACCTTCCACCCCAAAAGATTTAAGATTTGTTATTTTATTATAATTTTTATATCACATTCTTAACGCATCGAGGGTGTTACAATGTAACTGTTTCTTTACTTTCTATTTCTTATTATATCTAAAAATTACACCATTGAAATTGGTTGAATGAGTAGCGAAAATAAAAGAAAATATTATATTTTAACACTTTTACTGCATGATGGTTATAATATAAAAGATTTATTTTTTGAGGATATCAAATATATTTTTAAAATCTTTTAGGGTATAAAAGATAATTCACTCTAAAATTTATTTAGTTTATACCTCTTTATTTATAAAAATGTACTAAGACTTCCTTATTCAATATGGAGTGACCCGCGGTTCCTCGAGTGCCAGCCACAGAAAGGAATGCCTGAATAAAGATTCCTCCGACCACTATACATGTGAAAGGTTAGAAGTTGAGGCCAGCTGACTGATTCAATGAGATATGCATTGCCAACATTAAGATTTAAAACTTAACTGAGTTCTTCTATGTCATAATAAATTATGTGTAAATTACTCTAAAAAAAAGAAGAAGAATGTTTATTTTTTTTCGGTAGGGTGGCATTTTTCGTTCACCTTTTCTATACTTACCCCATTAGTAACTAAACACACTTCATGCTACAAACACATCTTTTAAAAAGAAAAAAATGAGATACGGAAAAAAGACAGAAAAAAGCAAACTGAAACAAGAAAGAAAAAAAATCAAACAAAAATTAAAAGAACAAGCAAAACTATAAGACGCAAAACCACAAGATGCAATACTAAGCATGAAAAAAAAACAAGCATCGAGTACATATACAAAATCGAACAAGAAAAAAAAATAACGAGCTTAGATATAAAACCTAAATAAGAAAAAAAAGAACAAATAATCTGAAAGCATATATACACACACACACACATATAAATTCTAAATAAAAAATTATTAAACTTGACAAAAATATCAAAATATACCGAAATTAATGAAAATTAATACAACAAACACGAAATCAAATATATAATTAAATTGAAAAGTAATATTAACTTGTATTTCACTGAAAAAATTAATATTGAAAAAGTACTTTTGTGAGTGCATAAGATGAGATAAATAATAAAACCCTAATTATAACAAAATACAAAATGAGTTTACTTATCAAAGAGTGTGTATGTAGCATGTGGTGGATTTAGTTACTAATGAGATGAATATAAAGGAGATTAACTTAGTTGTTTGATAATGAAAAATTAAATGAGGTAGAAATTGAGATTTGTGGCCCTTTTTGTTAACCTTGCAACTCACAGATGACCCGGGCAAAATAGTAAATTGAAAAAGAAAAACCTTAAACAGTTTGGACCTTCATATTGAATAATGGTTACAACCCACGAATTCTTCTTGAAATCTCGTCACATTCATTCCCTTCATAGGCTTCCAAAACTGGATCCGGACCCTTCTCTTGGTTCTTCATTACATGGCCGAACTAGGGATCCGGGAATCCAGTCAATTCCTGGCCTTTTGATCTTGATGATCTCATAGACCCGCCATTAGAAGATGCCTTTGGCTTCTTTTTGCGTGACTGTTTGCAACTACTGGTGGTTCTTGTTGGGGAGACTCCGACCCAAGACTTGAATTCTTGAGCCTCCTCGGTTGGGTCGATAGTTCCCGGGTCGAAGATTCGAGAATTGAATTCTTCTTCCTCCTAGGCTTGTTACTGCCCAATGGGGCCCGACCCGGAGATCCTACTGAACCATTGGAAATCTGGCGCCTGGATGGTTTTGTTTCACCGAAGATATTACGGGTCGGGGAATCCGTCCCGGATGACTTTTGCATATCCGAAATGCCTAGTAGCAATGAATCTTGAATAAAAATCAAAGTACGAAGTGAGTCCTAAATTTTCATTTTTTTAGAGGTGGAAACAATTCTTCATTCATGTAATGGAAATAGAAAATACCAACTTTATTAAATAGCATTTCATATATCGTTATAATTAGTAAGTTTGAGTTTTTTTGAAACCACATGTTTACTAAACGTGTGAACTCGATACGACATAATTAATAAACGAATTAAGTATGAGTAAAATAACTCAAAAGAAATACATAATATAACTCGTTTATATATTTGTTATATATGACACGAACCCGATATAATACGATTCTTTAGGCACAAATTAATAAACAAATTGGGTATGAGTGAAATATTTTTTTGACACGAACCCGTTAAAATCCGACACGAATCTGTCTTATCCGACATGATTAACATGCCTACTTGTATTTACCAAAAAGGAAAAAATCTTTGACCAACATTTTAGGATAAGTTTTTTATGACTTACTTGAGTTATTTTTTGCTTAAGTTAAGTTGAATAAGTCACAACATATTAAATAGTAGAGTTGTGGTCTCTCTCTCTCTCTCTCTTCCATTTTTTTTTGGGAGGAGGGAGGCTAGAAAATATGATTCCTTTGGCAGAATACTTGATAGCATACGTTGGTAGAGTGTTACAATTTGATGCTCCAGATGAGGGTTCTGGAGAAGTTCCAAACTCATTCATCTACAAAATTCTACACTAAGTTAATTAATCACTTATATAATTCAATGTAAATATGATTGCATTGATTAAAAAAGAACGTAATGTAAAATATTTGGTGGGGCTTCATTCGCTTGAAATGACTTGGAAATAGACGTTATAAACATAGAGTCGCCCCAAGTCAATAAACAAATAATGTACAACATAGAAATATGAAGTTATACATATTTTTTATGAATACCGATGAATCTAGCCTATTCATTAAGTAAAAGGAAAAGAAAAAAATTACTATGCAATGCGTGAAATTGAATCCTAGGTCCTTAACTATCTTGGAACATTAATGTTTGTTTTTTTTTTTTTGGGGGCAGCCACTATTTTGTCCCAAAACACATTAACATTTTCAAAGAAAATAATTATCAAAAGAAAAAGAAAGGAAAAAAAATAATGGCTTACCCAGCTTGGTGAATTTGCAGGTGTACATTGCCATCCAATGTGGGCAAGATGTTTTATGTCTGTGGGGTGGCCTATCTGCATTTCTGGTTCTTTCTCATTCTCTGCAAATTTATTACAGATTATCATCATATTATTTAACTTTGTAAGCTTTGAAGAAAGAGAACATGGAAAAAAGGAATTCATAAACAGTGACTTAGCATATAGAAGAACTAGGGTAATCTCTGCAATGCAGTCTTTTTTGTATTATGATTAAAAATGTCAGTTAAATTATTTACTGTGGTTGGTTAAAATATAGATGAGTAGGTGGTAGATTTATCGTAATTAAACTTTAAGCATTGTTACTGACAAGACGTGGGTGGCTCGCCAGTCACAAATTGATAAGTGGCACATTGCAGTCGGTAGATGTGTCCATTGAGCTCCCATATGCCGAGACCGAATGATAAATATTCCCAAGACCGAGTAAGAATGCACCATGGAGGAAAAAAGACGTGCGCGACTGATGTTGAGGATTAATTGCCCTAGGGAAGTGTGCCTCGTGCAGAGCATTGATGTAACGAATGATCATTACTCTATCACATCAACTCTGAACTTGTATCAAACTACTAGAAAGATAGAGGCATGACCCTCTGTTGATGAAGAGAAGCCCTCAATTGAATCATAAATGCTCAGCTACAGATCGTGAGTATTCGGCGTGAAACACTTGATTTTTGAGAAAACTTGATGTTCAAGCAGGCGAGAAGTCATAAATGCTCGGCCTCACAAGCATTGAAGTTATGATTGTACCCCATCACCACGTAGGCATGACAGCGCACACTTATTATGCGGCGCAAAGACGGTAGACTTACTGATATTATTGTTCCTTTGCGAGAATTTTTGCCATAGGCTGCCAGACCTAGGTTTTGAGTACTCAAGTAATTGTCACATCATCATAATTCAAAGGTATAAATAACCCAACGAAACAGGGCACAAGTATGCATGCTCAACCAGCTTTGCATTGTACACTTATCCTCTCAGCATTGAGCGTCAACTAACTTACACATCGGAAGGGATAAGCCGAGTGCATCCCCGACCTCTTTCTGACTTCATTCCTTATTTCAGAAATCTCATCCAAACTCACCCATAGATCGCTATCTCAAATCATTGCAAAGTTACAAGAACTTTAACATAACTTTGGTGAAAAAATTTATAGCGGCTAAGCCGTTGAATTCAAGTGATTAAGTCGTTATTGTGCTTTATGGTAAAAAGAGTTAATTTTATTGTGTAGATAGAGAAAGAGTCATTACCCAATTTTAGTATACGTTTAGCAAGAATGTTGAGAGGAATTGCTTACAAACCTAATTGTGAGTACTATATACATAAAGTGACTGTACTCAATTTTGATGCACAATCGCACAATTGTTTGAACAATTTTAATGGTAGAGGAATAAATGAAAAGAAAATTGAAAAACATGAAAAGACAGATCACTTTTTTACTCCTTCTTGGAGAATTTATGGCGATGACAAAGTACTCTTGAATGATACGTCGTAGATTCAAATTTAAAAATCTCTCTCCAAAATAGGGGTCCGACAGATCACAAGTTATCACTCATAAATAGTTAGAGGTCTTGCACAGTGGGTATAACTTTTTTTTTAATTTTCTTAATAATTATTTCAAAAAAACTATATTAAAAAATTTGGGAGGAAAAAAGACAATGAGCTAGGGGTACATACCAAATATTTGGGAGATGTATCTTAAGCCTTTCAAGAGGCCCTTCACCTTCGTGGACATTTTGGTAGAAGGATTTGTCTATGCTACTTATCCTTCAAAACAACATTTGTGAGAAATGCCAAGAAGAAACTGGCATTGGCGACAACAAATTTACGTCAAATTCTCCCTCCGGGACCATTTTTGGATTGAACCAACATGGTGTCATCTCTTCAGATCATTGAGACCAAACAGTAAACTCCAAATGAGAATGAGAGAGAGAGAGAGAGAGAGAGAGAGAGAGAGAGAGAGAAAGAGAGAGAGGAATTATGGTTGAACAAAAGGGTTTTGCTTAACCAAGTTTGTTTTTTCCAGTTTTGAATCAATTAAAACCAATGGCTAAGCATATTTTTAGGGGAATATTCAGAACTGTACAACTATAAAATCTCATTCCTTAACGGCTATTTCTGGCTTGAATGTTAACTTCTTTAATGATATACGAACTGAATCTATAATTATTGTTGGATTGACAGTAAATTTATATAATATTAAGATCCACTACTAATTTAATGATAATAATTGGTTTAATTAGAAATTGTAGTTGGTACATTTTGTCCAAATAATATTCCTCTTTTGGGTTTCCTTGCAAAATTTATGGTTGGATTCAAATACACCTTAATTGTAGTATATTCTTTCTTTATATAGCAAACGGCAAAACTTTATTAAAAACTAAACCAAAACATCATTCCGGAGAAGAGAGTCAAGAAATTCTGGTTCTTACAATTAGGAAAATATATTCAAAAGTGTTCACCTAGAGGAATTGGGTGGGAAGAATTCAAACAAATATTAATAGCTTAGCATCTTGAAGGAATAAGATGTCTTGTGGATGAATGAATTCCATAGTGCACCCAAGTACTGGTTATAAATACACCACCATCATACAAAGAGATTCGTAACCAATGTAAAAAACTCAACTCCCCCTTTTAACAGGTCAAATAAAGATAAGTGATCAACAACTTTACCTTTCTTTTGGAGAGATGGATCCCTAGACACATCAAGTTTGAGCAATTACCTTGTAGAACTATCCTTGCTAGAGCGAGCTCGCCAATGCCAATGCCAACGCCAACACCAACGCCAATGCCAACACTAACTACTTCTCTCAGTACAACTACTACGGCTATGACTAAAAATTATATTATTCCTTTTATGACATATAAAGCTGATTTCAGCATGTTAGGCTAGCCCTCTTTATTTACAAAAAAGTGGAAATGTGCTCCTCTTTTTCTTAGTATTTTTAAAACTTTGACTATTTCTAAAGAATCACTAGGGATAAAGGAATAAAACTCCTAGTGCTGAAGGCTTCCACTCTATCTATATTGTTCGGACATCTCCTTGTCCGAAAGAGTACTAAAGAAGCACAAATTTGCTCTTAACGTTAGTGCGAAGGGAGTCAAGGTATTCCTGTGATTGGCCATTGATAGATCATACTATCACCTCTTTTTGTTGAGATTTTTTTATATAGAGAACTTGTTTAGGTCAAAGGTGTTGTGACAACCTTTATCAAGTCCAAATGATTGTCGACCACCAAATTCACTAGTCTGAAATATTCACGACGGTTCATAAGCACTAATCCTCAGCGCGGAATATAATCTCGAAGTACTGTAATGACTCAAATACAGTATTTCATCCATAGGAAGAGAAAGCAAAGAAAATAATATAAACATGTAGAACACAATATTCAACTTCAATTCGGCTTGAGGTAGAATTTAGTTGATAACATTCTCTGAATTTGATGTAAAAATGGATTTCAATCAAATGTATCCAATACAATAGAAGCTTTTCCTAGCTATACAAAGAGGTTAACAACATGTCAAAATATAAGAAACAACCTCGCCCACCATCTCCCAAGAATAATTACAAAATAAAAGGAAGGCGAGCGAAGAGATTGTTACAGTTCTTGTTTGGGGAAATTGGACCTACTACTATATTTTTGATATAATTCAAAACTTTCCCGAAATTTTTTGTCTTGGCTCATCAACAATTTGTAAGTTTTTAGCTCCTTTAGCCCAAAGTTCATGGCACGATCATTAAACTTCAACTTTGATGGGCACAACTTGTCGAATAGTTCCAGTCCACCCATCTTCATTTTGGAATTGGAGACAAGTTCTTGATGCTTTTTGAAAATTAAGGTTGTAAATCTCTCACTCTCACATCCATAACTCCCTGGGGTTGAATTTTTGATATAATTCAAAGCCTTCCTAAAATTTTTTGTCGTGGCGCATCAACAATTTGTAAGTTTTTAGCTCCTTCAGCCCAAAGTTCATGGCACGATCATTAAACTTCAACTCTGATGGGCACCACTTGTCAAATAGTTCTAGTCCACCCATCTTCATTTTGGAATTGGAGACAAGTTCCTGATGCTTTTTGAAAATTAAGGTTGTAAATCTCTCATTCTCACATCTAGAACTCCTTGGGGTTGGATCAATAGTAGAGAGCTTGCCTGAAAACACAACTGGTTCATGCAAAGAATAAAACTTTTCGTTTTGAGAGACATAACACGTCTCTTCTGTATCATCGGCAAGGGAAACAACATGTTCATTATGAAGCCCAGAACCAGAAGTCGATGCATCAACTTCATTGGCTACCTGCATGACTTTATTGCAGTGAAGTTCAAGCTCCGTGTTAGCAGACAATCCATCTATTTCCTCGGCCTCATAAAGCTTACGAAGTATAATCAAAACACGAATAGGAACAATTGGTCTAACTAAAGCATCACTAGGCTGCATTTTGTGTGACCACTTACTACTACGACATGAAGGCTTCCGCAAGGGAAAAGGTGGCAATTGGCCTTGATTCAGAATATCCAAAAATTCTGGGGTTACCTTTTTGTGGTTCATAAGAACTTCAAGGAGGTCAAAGTAGGTGGAGAAAGCTGAACGTAAAATACTTATAGGCAAGCCAGCCCAAATGCTCTTTAAAGCAGTATCATGTATGATAGTTGGCGAGTTGATGTACTTCAAAACGTCGTAAATTGCAGGAGAGGATCTCAATTTGGTGAACCCATAAGCCTTCGACTTCTGACATATATGTTGATGGAAGTCTGACTCAGAAGAGTCCTTTCCGCCAGGACATTCACCGAGCTTTCTGAATTTATTAACCAGGACTTTGGCAAGATTATCTTTCAAACTACCCTCAAGATAGTCACATTTCAGGTACTGAAACTTCTTGGGAAAGTTATATTCCTCGTCATCTACTGAATACAAAAGAGAATCTTCAAAATGAAGAGATGATCCTTTGTGGGCTTCTGAATTATTCAAAAATTCCCAAGCGGCACAGTATGTTTGCAATTCAAGCTTTCCTGAGGACATCCTCCTAATCACTAAAAATCCACCGAAACTATCTGGCTCATACAACTGAACAGAGAGGTTTTTATCGAGGATGCCAAACCCCAAAACTATTTCGTTCTTCTGCCGCCAATCAATCCATTCAGGAAGAGCATCCTTTGGGAATTTTTCACTTACAAGACAACTTCCACAGTTACAACCACGACCAGATAATGAGAGCTCCGAAGGAGTCCCCAAGCACAAAAGGATTTGGAGAATTTCAAAATTTTAGAAGCAACACATCCATTATTACCTGGTCCATAGCAAAAGGCATTAAATTCACAATTCAAAAATGATCCCAGTATAATGCAATTGCCTGAATCAGATGCCCACTTATATCTATCATCCTTTGGGTGCGACCTTAAATCAGACAATTTGAACACGGTAATAAACGTTGAGTTATCAAGACCATGTGCCCACTGGCTTCCTTACATCACATAAAATTAGCAAGTAATTGGAGGCCATAGTAAAATAAAATCCATCAGAACCAGCCCTAGCTAATGCAACAAATTGATCACTCCTCATAGGATTACCCATAACCAATCTGTAAATCTTCATTAAAGGGGTGACACTGCATCCCTCTGACCTCGAATCAACTAAAAACACATTACTAGAATGAGCAACAATCAGAATTCTCGGATGCCAGCTAAATTCACAACTCAACCACTGCCCCTTCTCCAAATCAACGAAATCACTCCATAAAATTCTTAGCTTCTTTCCCAAAAATCTCTTAATCAAACCCCTGGTTTTACAACAAGAATCCAAATCAAACAAGAAAAATTCACCACTCTCTAGCAACACCACACACTCTTTTGGTAAATGTGGACTCCAACAAACATGAACAACGACACAAGTCTTAAATAACTTACTACCCAAAAAATCTACTACTACTCTCTCTAAATCAGAATCGGTCTTTGTAATCCTAACTCTATACCAAAACACAGAGTACATTGTACAGGCTAACAAATACCCAATAGCAATAAAACAAGACTTACCTGAACTAGAACACAAAAAATCAAAGTCGGCAACTGGGTTCACCAATAATCTCAGAATACGTTGATTCAACTTAGTTTCTGCTACAAAAACATCCCCACTGTCACCCAAAGCTCTAACATCCAACTGGGTATCTTTCACTGGGAGAATCACAAACCCTACTTGATCAGAGTTATCGCTAGTAGGAAAAAATGCAACAACAGACGCAATTCCATGGCATCGGAGCAATTGAATGCGGTTGTGGAGTAGTGGTGATGGGTCAGGGACTTGAGGCCCAAACTGGGTAGCAATAGATGTGCGTGTGGAAGGTAAGAGAAAAGAGTCTACGGTGCAAGTTTGGAGGAATCTCGTAAGAGAGAGATTGGGGAAAGGAGGAAGGAGAAGAGGGGAGAGATAAGGGGAAGAGAAGAGTTGGGTGAATGTAGTTGGCGATGGGTTGAAGATTAGAGGTTCGATTTTAGTGGGTGAGAGGAGGAGTGGGGGTAAGAATACGGATGATATTGGCCATAGCGACTTCCACTTTACCGAGAAATCCATGACTGTGTTTTGTGTCTCTCAGCGCTGGATTACTCTTTATATAAGTAGTGTTTAGTCGGCTAACCCCGTTTATTTAAGAGCTTATTTGTTTATCACAAATATCGATTATTATTATTTTTTAATTTTTTTTGGGAAGGGAGAAAGAGACTTGAACCCCGATTTCAAGAAGACAAAACTTTTACAAAATAAAGAGTACCATTAAACCAAAATCCATTAGTATTATTATTTCCTTCACACTTTGTACTTAGAATTAGAGGTCTAAACAAATTGAAGTGGACCCTAGAAACTACAAACAAATTCAATTATACAAATTTATAGATAGAACGGGTATAAATTAAATTAATTTTAATATGACACAAATGAATAAATATTTTTTATTATTTTTTTTAGTTTAGCTTAATTTTTATGTAAATACTAAAAAGATAAATTATTTTAACTTTTTATTAAGTGAGATTTTGTCACGTCCGTACAGATAACAACCACACAAAATAGTTAAAAATAAAGTAGGTTGGAGTAGCTTAGTCAAAATCCTACTAACATTTATCATTTGAAATTTTTTTTTGTTATATTAACAGATTTTAATTTTTTTCTGTATATTTTTAACACTTTATTAATTTTAACCTGAAAATTCAACTTTAATTAATAAATTATATATGAAAAACTTGTATGCAAAACCTTTTTTTTTCCTCCAAAACTTTTTTACTATCTTTTCTCGACCTTTGGACTTGTCATCAACAGCAAAAAAAAGCAGCAAACAAGACACAGATGCAAAGACTGCGTGTTGAAAAGGAGCAAGTAGAAGAGATGACTGGTGAAGTGGTTACGACTGAAGAAAGAGAGAGTACGTAAAGAGATGACCCGTGAAGTGGAGAATGTTATTGACGAGAGCAACGACGCAGAGAAGGAGAAGAAAATTATGACTGTTAGGGAAAAGGGTATGGGATTTGGGCCTCCTTTATTTGATTTGGGTTAAAATAGGATTTTTCTTAAGTTAGTATGAATTTATTATTAGAGAATGATTTTTGATTATTTTTATTTAAATTTAAATTTAAGTCCAAAAAAAATCAGGGTTATAGTTGTCCTTAAGGCAGCCAAGCAATCAAAAATATATCGATTTTACTCGTGGGCTCAAACAATACGAACTTGACTCGACTAAAATTGATATGAATAATAATTAGATAAATTAAGAAATAAATAAAACAATTTTTTTAAAAAAAAATTTTTCCATCTTAATATCATGAGTTGTTGTATAGTGAAATAAATTTTTATTGATACAAATATTAATAAGAACTCTATAGATATTGAAAATGACACGATTCCATTTTTGGTACTTGTTTTCATTTTGGGTAAAACACCCTATTGACTCTTGAACCTTGCTTGTAATTTTAGTTAAACCTTTAAACTTAATTTTAATATCATTTATCCTAAAAATTTAAAGGTGTTGAGGTGGTCCACGGGATCTTTTATCCCATCGAAGGCATCCACTTGCGACATTCTGAATTTAGGTGGTAGAGGGAAGTGCAGCACCCCAGCAGCGAATGGGGATTCGATTTGCTACACCAAGGCATCTATAGTGACTGAGGCCTTGCTCTTCACTGTCTCCTTCATCTGGCTGAGCTCTTTCTGGATGTCTTTGAAACGTTGCTCCCAGTGGTGTTCTTTTCTCTTCTGTTGATAAGGGAAGAAGTCGCTCATCTCCCCTTCCTTATACTAACTTTGTCCTTCCTCGTTGTAACCATTCCTAGGGGGCAGGCGAGGTTCTTTCCTCAAGGTCTGACTATTCTCTCCCACCTCATTAACTTCTCTGAGAGGGTCGAGATTCAGTTGCTCTTTTGGTAGTGCGTTATTCTGGCCTCATTGGGCCGATCGCGCCTCTTATGGGCGTTGTAGGAGCTTTAAGAGCTCTTCGTTCTGTTTTATCAAACGTTCATTGACAAGACGAAGGGCCTTCATCTCATTATTCATGGGAAGGCCCCCCATGGGGGGATCTGCTTCTTGAGTATTTTCGAATTGTCTGTTATTTGCGGCTTCCTGTTGATCTTGCATCCGTAGAGGATTGGTCTGATTTCGGCTCATGTTTTGCGTTGATACTATCAGTCACTGGAAAATCAGCTTTATTTGTAACAGGAACAGTCGTTCCCACAGACGGCACCAAACTGATGGTGTATTTCAACGTGATGCAAATTTGTGATGACGAGTAAATAAAAGAAATAATATTGAAATTGTTAAGATCTGAGCTACTAGACTCGAGTAAATGATACTGAAAATTTTTGGGGATTTGGGGAATTAACATAGTAGAAATATAGTAGTTCACCAGCTCAGGAGCTCGGTTAATCCACTCTTTAATGGAGACTCTTGCTCCTTGTCTTTCAATAATGATGATTGCAAGAGTACAATGACTAGTTTTTACCTCTAAGGTTCCTCTCCCTGTTAAGAGGTGTTACATAGTATTTATAGGGTTGTTCCCTATTCAGTGGAATCTTTGCTGAGATTCTTGCCCTTATTTCGTGATATTCTCCTTGATTATAGAAGAAGATCTTAGTTTGTTGAGATTAGGTGCCTTGATTATTGCTTTCTAACGCTTTTCAGAATCTCTCGTGATCTTCTAGTTGTTGCCTTGGTTGTTATTGCCCTTGCTTATCTCGAATGGACCTCCAGCTTTACTCTTCTAAGTCTTGTTTGTTTAATCTGACCTCCTGGACTGAGCTGACCTTCTGAATTGGTGATTGAGATTTATTTTGAGGTATCATCATAAATAAATAATAATATAATAGAGATTGGACTTTACTTATTTATATTATTATAAAATACCAACAAAAATGAAAAATTTTTGATTGACTGTAATAGCCATATCAAAATAACTAATACCAATTCTATCCTTTTTGAGTTAAAATAACACCATTATTGCTATATTATTTGCAATTGTAACTGTTACGTGGACTCTTGACTGTTGAATTGTTATTCTAGACATATTTTTATTTTTCTTGTTCCATGCTAATTAATATGATAAAACCAGCAGTCACCATTAATATTTTTCTTATCCTTATATAAGATATAAATATTCGTTGTATATTGAATAAATATATCAGGTACTTGGATTATATCAATTACAAAGCCCAAGAAACTGAACATAATTCAATGTGTTTAGACACATCCAATTATGTCCCTTTTCTCTGTCATCTATTGTAACTGATTTAGTAAATATATGAGTTAGCAAACGAAACTTTAATTATTCTTTTCATATTCTTTTCAACAGAGAATAATGAATCAATTCATGTTTTTGATGTTTCATACTTCAATTGAATTGGTTCTTCCTTTTTTCCTCTCTCTCTCTCTCATGAACTAAAGCATGTGCATTGTGAAGCCAACTCAGTGCCAGATGCAAGGTCAGCTTCAATAGCGGCAATAAAGGAAGAGGGACTAAAATTTAGGATTTGTGCAGTGCTTCAGGTTCTTGGGTCTCATTTGATCTATGCTATTGATGTTCTTGTTTCAAATGTTTTGTGCCCCTGTTTCAAATGTTCTTTACTTGATTTTTAGTGTTTGCAATTGGTTTTCTTCTTTAGGGGTTTGTTTCTCATAAGGGTCTTTGCAGAATATTATGTGGTGATGTTTCTTTCAATAGGATATTGATTGATTATTTGGGTAATGGTTAATTTTAATTTTAGCAGTTTGGGTCCATGCAGAAAATTTTTCTTTGACAGGTTCATTTATTATATGTCTAATTGTTGACCTTTTCAACAAATTTTTATTGAGCTTGATGTTTGATTTTGCATATTTTTTGAAACCATGGAAATAAAATTTTCTATTACGTTTTTAATCCTAAAAAATCAAATTCACGTGAAGAAAATTAAGGTACAGACAACATTAGGACTAAGTTTTAGACTCAATGGCCAAGTTGAATTTATAACATCCATGGGCTTTTCCAACTCAACGGCACATGTTTTACTATTCCCTATATTCTCCTACCAAAATTATCATTACTTGAGTTTGAATATTACTCATCAGTAATTGTCATTTGTTCCTAAGCTATATGATTCAAGAGTCTGTTCTCATTTACAAGTTACAATGCTTTGAAAGCAGGGCTAAGAAAATTTTGAGACATGCAATTAATGAAAGTCCAATTGCAATGTCAAGAACAACCTTACTTAGACCATGCATTACATGTCTGTCACAAGGAGCAATTCCAAGCTACACTTCAGAAGAAATAGTTGAATGGTTGTAAAAAGATTGCTTTTTTCACCCATTTTGAGCAGAGTCAGTTCTTTATAAGTGACCGATTGCATGTCAATGCCCTTTGGAAATTATTTTTCTCAAGATTCAAGTACTTCAATGCATTTATCGCTACATTGAGACGTCAAGTCTGCAACCGAACTGGCTATTTTGTCATTAATTTCATTTTTCTCAAGATACAAGAACTTAAATGGATTGATATACAATGAGACATCAAGTTGCCCCAACTATTTTGCCACCAAGCAAAGTTGATGAAAGATTAAGAATGATAGGATGAAAGATTAAGAATGAAAGCGAAGTTGATATGGTAGAGGGTGCAAGTTTTTAATGTTTCCAAGAATGAAAGGACCACTAGCATTGATTGTCACACCAGAAACGCTTTATTTGGTTAGATTGTATAATCTACAGAGCCAAACACCAGTGAGTCATTTGAGGCAGTTGAAGCAAAGCTAAAGAGCCTAAACTGACAGTAAGTTAAGGAGGAAGGCGAAGCAGGGAGATGCAGCAGTAGATAAACTCCAAATCTTTGAGTGGATAGTGATTTGAGGCCGTGATGTACAATGCAAAGTTGTCAGAGAATATAAAGAGGTGGAGACAGAAGAGGTGACGGAAGGGCTTGGAGCCACAGGTGGTGGAATTGTGGAGGGTTGTTTGTGGAGAGCAAGGGTCTTTGGAGGTGGCAAGGTAGTTGGAATGGAGGGCTCCGAGTTGTTTAGGGTCAAAGGTAGATGTGGAAGCGGGAGAGGAGGGTGTGGACGGTGTTGGGGTTCTGGCATTGGTTTTGAGGAGGTTGATTTAGTGGGATCTGAGGGTTATTTGGTGGGGAAAATGGAGATGTTGGAGGAAAGGAGGAACTGGTGTCATTGCTGCAAGAGAGAGAATAATGTGAAGAGTGTGATGTAGTACTAAGAAGTTAGAACTGAGGAAGCTTACCAAAGAAAAAGGAAAAAAAAAGGCTTAGGATTGGATTTCAGGGTGAGTGATAGTTCGAAGAATTCTTGTATGCCCTTGGAGTCTAAAATCATCGCGGAGTTCTTTTTTCCTGTTAGTACCATTACAGAGTTACAAGGAGAATTTTTTAGGGGGTACTTTATTTCATTCATTTTATTGTTCTAATGTGGCCGTCCACTTCCTATAATAAAAGCTCCATAAACAAACATTCTTGTAGCATCCATTAGAACCAACTTCAAAGTAAACAAAAGAATCGAAAACAAGTAAACAACAATCCAAACTCAAGTAAAGAATGTACCGAAAGGTAAGAACAAACTGGCTGAAATTATGAAAAGAGTGAAAAAGCAAGACCTTGCATCTCAAGGGAAATACATATAGTACTATATCATGATTACACATCATCCCTTTCCTTTCTATAGCTACTTATACAACCCCACAGTAACCACACCCAAAACAGAGTGGAAAACATAGCTTTCTCCTCCAGCAAAAGATCAGAAAGTAACAAAAAAGAATCACCCCAATTACTATAGTCTCACTCACTTTCATAATTAAATCTATAATAAATTGAATAATAATTACCATTACTTTCCTAAGCTGAATGAACCAACAGTCATGTTTTCATTTACAACACTTAGAAAGCAGGACTAAGAAAATTATGAGAAAGACAATTGATGAAAGCCCAATTGCCACACCAAGAACAATCTTACTTGGTCCATGATGATGTTGATTCTTCTTATTAGTATCATCGGCCACATTGTAATCATCGTCGGAACTATCACTGCCGTCCGATGAGTCCTTTGCCGGAGGCGGCGACATAGGCAGTCCATGTTTATCACAAGGAGCAATCCCAAGCTTCAATTTAGAAGAAATAGTTGAATGGTTGTAACAAAGATTGCTATTTTCACCCACTTTGAGCACCATTAATCTCTTAAAAAATGACCCATTGAATGGCAAAATCCCCTGAAAATTGTTCTTCTCCAGATTCAAGTACTTCAATTGCTTCATCTCCGAAAGGAACCTTGGAATTGTACCATTCAGCTGATTAGAACCCAGATCAAGATGTACCAACCCTGGCATTGCTGCTATTGAATCAGGGATTGATCCAGACAAAGAATTTGAAGCTAATGACACATTTTGGAGAGACATCAAGTCCCCAAACGAACTGGGTATTTCCCCATTAAGTGAATTTGATGAAAGATTCAAGTACTCAAGGTTTTCTAGGAGAGTTAAAGAATTGGGTATTCTTCCTTTGAGGTTATTGCCAGACAAATCAATGTGAGTAAGGTTAATATGCCAGTGTTTTGGGAGATACCCAGAGAGATTTGTGTGAGAAATTGACAAAGAGTGCAAGTTTTTCATACCACCAAGGATGATCGAAGGACCACTGGCATTTACTGTCACACCAGAGACGGTCAAGTCAGTTAGATTTTGCAATCGACTGAGCCAAACGCCGGTGAGTCTTTTGAGGCTGTTGGTGCAAGTGAAAGATCGTAAATTGGAGGTGAGTTCAGGAGGGAAGCGAATAGGGGAGATGGGGCAGTTGATGAACTTCAAATCATTGAGAGAGGAGAGAGATTTGAGGGCAGTGATGGACAATGCGACGTCGTCGGAGCACTTTGAGAGGCGGAGAGAGACGAGGTGGCGGAAGGGTTTGGAGGAGTCACAGGTGGTGGCGTTGTGGAGGGGTGTGGGTGGAGCGCAGGGGTCTTTAGAGGTGGGAACGTTGAGGGATTGGAGGGCTCTGAGTTGTTTTGGATCAAGAGTGGAGGTGGAAGTGGAAGAGGGAGAGGATGGTGTGGTGGGGGTTGGGGAGGTTAATGGAGCTGGAGACGGTTCTGGGGTGGGTTTTGGGGAGGTGGTAGGAGTGGGGGTTGAGGGTGGTTTGGTTGGTTTTGTGGAGGTGGTTGGGGTGGGGGCTGAAGGTGGTTTGGTTGGTTTTGGGGAGGTGGTTGGAGTAGGGGCTGAGGGTGGTTTGGTAGGGGAAATGGATGTGTTTGTTGTAGTGGTAGTGGTGGTGGTGGATGGTGGAGAGAGAGAGGAGGTAAGGGTGGTGATGGTGGTGGAGGAGAGCAGGAGAAGGAGAGAGATTTTGGTAAGGAGGAAACGGTGGTCTGGAGCCATTGCTGCAAGTGAGAGACAGTTTACAGTGAAGACTGTGATTGAGAACTGTGAGCTAAAGAAGTGAGGACTAGGATTGGACTTTGGGGTGAATGACAGTTGCAAGAATGCTTAAATGCCCTCAGATTTGTGCACAATTACGGAACTACCAGGTGATTTTCTTTTTTTCTTTCTGCTTCTTTTCCGGTATTTTTCATCGAAAATTCTCACTAAATTCCACTCGAGATAAGTAAATCCTATTTGGCTAGTTTGTTTGAGGTATAAGGGTAGTATAAAGAAAATAGTATGTGGGATTTATCTTAAACTTTGTTTGTTTGATAATTTTTACTAAGTATTAATTTTTGGGTCATAATAACGACCTAGTGTGAACAGTAACATTAATGTTTTCTACACGGTGCTATTCAATACCACTTATCTGATGGTATAATATTTTTGGTATAAATAAATTAAGGTATAATAAACTAAAAAGACTGAAATGTCTTCAGGTAAAATGCCCATATAACAAATAAGGGGAAAAATAAGATTATAATTTAAGACCTTGTATAATATACTATTGGATTAGAGTGGAATGAATATAAAATCTTATACCACCTAAATCTTATACTTGAAACAAACTAGCTCTGGGTTAATTACCTCTACGCCACCATTATATTTAATGAACGAATTATTTTTAAATGATAAAATAATTTTTTACAGTTTTCTTAAAACAATAATAAAAAAATCATACCCAACGTAAAAAATGTCGTTATTAAAAAGCACCAAAAAAAAAAAAAAGAAAGTTGTAGATTATATCTTAAAACAAAAAAGAGAAAGAAAAATAGTAAGATTTGATGCTGACATAAATGTTACGGCTATTTACTGCAGCATTTGACTGATTAAGTTGTGTGTTTTGTTACTTTATTTGACATAAGTTGCTTAAAGAAACTATAGTATTCAGTTTGACCCACAAGATAACTCAAGTTTGAGGGTCAATAAAGGTTTAGTATACATATAATCCTTAATTACAAAGCACAATTCAAGTGATAATAACAATAAATTATAAATTTAAATATTTTGAATTTAAATTTTGACAATTTCTTAAAATAAATTCCTGAAGGAATTTATCCTAATCCTCGACGTAGACGTGTTGACCCAGACACCCCTTGATGAGTCCAAATCTAATTGAGTCATGTCCAATAAATCAAGCAGGCTCAAATCAGTTAAAAGGAATGTTAAGTCCAATTCGTGAATCCGACCCAGCCTAAAGTCCAATAAGTCCAACAATAATTAGAGCACGTGGGATGTAATCATCTAGATACTCATTTTCGAAGATTAAATCTACCTTTAATTGTAATTACATTTTCTAGCTATCCTCCCCAAAAAATTAGAGTTTTTACCCTCACGTCACCGCCGAGTTTTATGCCTATAAATTGTAAACTCTATTTACATGAGAGGGCATCTATCTCTCTACACCTCGTTACTCCTTTCTACACACTTTCTCTCTCCTAATTATTATACTTTATTCGGAGCTAACAATTACTCTCACTCTTTCATTTACCTTACTTCATCAATAAAGACTCCCTCGGTCACCATTGTCGTTTCCCAGAGTAAAATAGGTTACCTAAATCGAACCACTACATATTTGTGTGTTGATTCAATATTTACATTACTGTCATTGATTGTTTTATTTATTGTCCATTAATTATATTTTATCACACACTCGACTGTTGATCTTGCATAAGTCTATTTTGTGCATCATCAGCCCTGACTGTTGAATAAAAAAAAAAATATAATCTTGGATTTAAAGCTTGTTATGATAGGTTGGATAAGAAAAAAGTTGAAGCCATTAATATTTCAAGATTATTCATTCGAATCTCATAAAAAATGTTTTAATATTTTTCAAAAACCAAAAAAAAAAGCCCCTAGAAGGGTGTTATAGCCAATTGAAAGTCTCAAAGATGTTTGTTGCTAAGCACCTGCATAACAGCATAAGTCGTTATTAATCATCAATAAGGCAATAACCGAAAAAAAACAAAGGTCAAATGGTCAAATGCAAGTTCCAATTCCAGCAAGTTACCATGTGTAATTAAAAGATAAACAAAGGGCTTAAAATGGATATAAAAAGTAGTTTTCCGTTGAAGGGATAAAATTCCAATAAAAAAAATGTTACAAACGTTAGCTGGACATATGTGGCTTCCAGCTTTCGATGCCTTTCTTTCCATTCTTGCCTATTCTTTGGATCCAATCTCATCTGACACACTTTTTTTTTTTTTAGCAGATCCTTTATTATTAATGAGTAATACACTCACTTCAATATAATAGTTCTCACTTAAGGATTTGACTATGATATTAATTTTTTTTTTGGGTATCATAACTTCATTTATTATATATGATTATTTTTATTATAATTTTAAATATTTTTATTACGATACCTAAAAAATAGTAAAAATAGTTATAACAATAGTGATAAAAATATTTACAAATGTTATAAAAACACCCACAAATGTGATAAAAACACCTATAAAACTGATAAATTTTTTGGTTGTAAAATGACCAACAAAAATTGTAAAAATACATTTTAAAGTAATAAATTTTGGAGGAATGATACCAAAATTTTTTTAGCGGTACCACAGTCACATCCCTCACTTAAATGCATGATAGATAATCTGTTAAGAAGGGAATTGCAAAAAAGTTAGATCGGAGGAGATCTCGATCCTAGTTCTTTCTTCATTATTGTTTGGAAAATGCAAAATAGATTTAACAATTTAATTTGATGAATCACTATTATTGAATAGATAATGAGTCATAATAAATATTGAGACTCACAGTTAAATCAATGAAAATTATAACAACTACATCATGAATTCAAATTTTTAAGTTTGTACAACATTGCTCTGTTTGTTTAGGGTTAATTACACTTGAGATTCTCAAAGTATGAGATTTATCTCATTTTGATTTTCAATATTTCAATTACATTTTTTTAGTCCATGTAGTATTGAATATATTTATATGTGGTCTCTCAAACAAACAACATCTAAATTATTAACAGCTTTTAATTATAAATGTGTCATATGATACGTAAATATGGACACAAAATAAATTAGGTTGTTTTTGACCAAATTTTTATCCAAATTTTGATCAAACAGTTACCCAAATTACACATTTTTTTTTCAATAGCTACCAATTATATTTTTTTTTCTCATATTTAGGTATCACGTGACAAGTTTATGATAAAAAAAATAATTAATAATTTGAACGTTGTTTGTTTGAGAGACCATATAGAAACATATTCAATATTTTAGAAAACAAAATAATGCAATTAAAATATTGATAACCAAAATGAAAGAAACTCCATATTTTGAGGACTTTCGGTGCAAATAACTCTATTGTTTATTGTTTAGGATTAATTACATAGGAACCTCCTAAACTTGTGGTTTAATTCAAATGATCCCCTCAATATCTAATTTGTGACCCTAAATTAATTCCAATTTATGGTTAAAATGCAAATCTAATGTCTCCGGTGAAGAAGATAATTTTGTCCTTTTAAAGGTGAATAAAATTTATCAAAACAACTTGGAGAAAAGATCTTAAGTGATTGGGTTGAGAATTTATCTTTTTATTAAATAACAAAAGCAATAAAATTAAATACACACTAATATATCAAAAAATATACACACGCACACTAATACACCAACAACACATATACACACTGGACCCAATCCCCCAACCCTGATCCTGGACTCGGACCCGACCTCGTGTGTGTATATATTTTGATGTGTTAATTTATGTGTATTCTGGTGAATAGTGTATGTGTGTGCGTATTTTGGTATTTTATTAAATGTTTTTTGTGTTTTTTGTGTGTTAGTATATGTGTGTATATTTTTAGTGTATTAGTGTGTTTTATTTGGTATATTGATATCTGCTTATATTAAAAGTTTTAATTATTTCACAGGTTAATGGGTTTAAGTTAACTCGTTATGATCCAACCCATTATAACTCGTTCATTAAGGGGGGTTGAAAATAAATTGGATTTGTTTTGTATCCAAACCATTTTGAACTAACTCATAACCAACCCAACTTGCCTATTTGCCACCTCTAGATGTGATGATCAGTTGGGAACATTTTTCATTTAACTAGAGAAGAAGAAGAATGAAGGTTGAAGGTTTTCACGACTGATTTTGGAGAAATCAGCTGTGTTTTTTATGATTGCAGGAAGATGAAGTCTTTGCGGGTTAAGGAGAAGACCAGTTTGACAACATCGTTTGCAGCTGTGTGCTAGATAGTGTGTTTTTGGCCAAATCGAAGTTGTTCCACTTAACAACACCGTGTGCTGTTAGACCCTAACAGAAGAGGAGCCACGTCCGTCTAATTGGAGATGGGATCACCCCTTAAATATCCTCCCCACCCCCATTTAATTTTTTAATCGCAAACTACTAAGTTCACCCAATTACTATATATATATAGATGGATATACTATACTCACTAGTGGTGCCTGGTGCAATGCACGATATTTTTAATCTCTCCCATCATAATCCTACCACCCCCTATCCCCCACGTTCACCCCTACCCTCTCTCTCTTCCAACCCTAATTTTATTGGACAATTTCCCATTAATGTGATAAATGAAGGAGGATGATAATTTTAAATTTAAAGTAGTTTTGTATGAATAGTTATATAGGCCACATGCATTAATTTAATTTGATAAGATTAATGCATTATTATTAAATAATTCAAAATTTTAAAAATTCTTATACTTGATGAAGGAATGTCTCATCAACATTCTCTTTTCTAAATTGATTGCTATAATATATAGCAAATATATATTTAGAGGAGAGAGGGTGTGCAAGAGAGAGAGGGGGAGAGGGAGAGAGAGAGATACTATAAATGGGGAGATGGTGGGAGAAAAACTTGGACAATTAAAATTTTTGAAAAGTTATCCTATTAATGAGGAATTAAGTTAATATTTTCTCCCGATGGTCAATGATATAAAACCAAATGAAATCTATCAATTTGAAAAATAAAATATCCAAGAAAACAAGGGGCCCCAATACATCTATCTAAGAGCATCTCTAAGAGGGCTATCTAAAATAATTATTCAAAATATATTTAAATATTGTATTATCTATTTTAACTAACAATTTTTTCAAACTCACTCTAACAACACTATCTATTTTTGCTAACTATTTCAACTAACTTTAACTAATTTTCAATAATAAAATCAAAAATACTATTTAGTATGTCAAGTCATCATCATATTAATGACATCACATGCTGACGTGTTACGCCACGTAATCAAAAATTTAAAATTTTATTTTTTATTAATAACGGTCATATTTACAACGGTCAAGAAATTTAAAATTTAAAAATTTGAGTTTTTCAATTATCATATTTGCAACGGTCATATTTTTGGATATGTATAAATAAGATCTTCTATCTCTCATTGTCATACACCTCAAATATATTTCTTCTCTATAAACTCTTCTTTTTGTTTATGTTATGGCTCGGCATCATGTAATGAACATGATTCTTAACGATTCTAGCTCCGATGATGAATTGGAGATGATAACAATTTGTGCTATTGAAATGAATAAACTCAATAGCAAGAAAAGCTCTGTCATACGTCGTGGTTCCATTCAAGATCATTCAGTTATTGTTTGCAATCGAGTTCAAGGCCACGAGAGACTATATCGTGATTATTTTGCTGAACCGCCTATCTATCCCCCAAATTTATTTCGAAGAAGATTTTGAATGAATTGAGCCCTTTTCCTTCGTATTCTATCCAAGGTGGAAGATTGTGATCCATATTTTGTTTTTAAAAAAAATGCTGCTGGAACTACTGGTTTGTCTTCCCTTCAAAAAATGACAGCTGCCATAAGGATGCTTGCTTATGGAGTTGCAGCAGATGTTGTTGATGATTATATGAGGATTGGCGAAAGCACTGCAATAGAAAGTTTGAAAAGATTTGTGAGTGTGATAGTAGCAATTTTTTTTGATGAATACCTCAGGTCACCAAACAACGATGACATTGCTAGATTATTAGCAATGGGTACCAACCGTGAGTTTCCTAGGATGTTGGGTAACATTGATTGTATGCATTGGAAAATGGAAGAATTATCCAACAGTATGGAAATGTATGTATTCTGGTCATGTCTATGAACCAACAATTATTTTGAAGGCGGTGACTTTATATGATCTCTGGAATTGACATGCCTTTTTTGGGTTATCCGGATCTCATAATGATATCAACGTACTAGAACGTTCTTCTGTTTTTTCTCTCTTTTCAGAAGGTCAGGCTCCTCCAGTCAATTTCTCAGTCAACGAAAACGATTATACAATGGGGTATTAACTTGCTAATGGTATATCTCCAAAATGGGTAACATTTGTCAAAACAATTCCATCTCCAAGAGGCAATAAGCAAATACATTTTTCAAAATCTCAAGAGTCAGCAAGAAAGGATGTTGAACGAGCATTTGGAATGCTTTAAGCATGATTTGTTATAGTGCGTGGACCAGCACGTTTCTAGACAATTGAAGTGTTTAAAAATATTATGAAGGCATGCATAATATTACATAACATGATTGTCGAAGATGAGTCGAACGCTAATGAGTTAGACTTTATTTATGATACAATGGATGAGAGTCTCACTGCCACAATCATACCTAAGTGGAGTTCAGAACTACTACAATTTATTAATCCTCAGCATTGCATTAGAGACAAAGAAACTCATTTCAAACTCCAAGCTGATCTAGTCGAGCATCTGTGTAATATGCATGGAAACTACTAGACACTACTTAAACAAATGTTATTACAGTACTTTTTGCAAATTCATTACTACTATATAAAGTTGTTTGTCTATCAATAAAAAAACACTACATCTTCTTTCCCATGATTTTCATTTGGCAGCGTTGATAATATTCAGCTTGTAATGGAGGCATGCAACTCGTATCCATTGACATTATTTGCTCTGCCTCTCTTGCTTACTCCATTTGCATTATCTCTTTCTCTTGTAGTAGAAGTTGTTGTTCTTGAAGTACACGTTCCAGTTCTTGACGATATTGTTTTTCAAACATTTCAAATTTCATCCCATTCACTATCTTTTTCTCTTCTTTCATCTCTGCTAACAGATTCACGAGTTCATTACTTCTTGCATCCCCTCCAGCTTCTTTGCCTTTTGATTTTCGTAGTCGTGCTTTCTCAGCTTTCCTTCCTGGTAGTCTGTCTAAGGATCCATAGGACCCACCATCATCTCCTAAATTTACGGAGTCCACTGTAGAAGGCACGAAGCTGCCAGGAGTTGCATTATGTTTTATTTTTTGCTTCTTTGCTTGAGAATCCTCCATCCATTTTGGTTGATACCTTAACTCATTCCAACAATGTTCAAACGAAAAAGAAGATTTATAGAGTTTCTTGTAAAAGTTTTTGGCATCACGAATCTGAAAAATTTTACAACAAAACTCATTATCATGTCATTAAAAGTACACTATTTTGTAAAAAAATATTCACTCATACCTTGTATTTCTCTGTCAAACCACTTTGATTCAGTCTTTCTATCTGTGCAAAATACCCACAAAATTTGTTGGTGGCTAGGTGAATTGCCGACCAACGATTCATCAAAGAATTTTGATTACGACTAGAGTATGACTTAGGTTTGTACTCGTGGAAAAACTCGCAAACCCTTTGTTAATGTGTCTTTGATTTTTGCTCATTTACTTGCACAACATCCAAACTAATATTAAGCCACGCCGAGATTATCATACTATCTTCCTCTGATATAAAATTGCCACCTCGTTATTTTTTGGGGGTGAATTTTACTTGAGGAGATATTGGTGAAGATTGACCTATAACCTCATAATCTAAATTTGTTCCATCATGCATGAGATTGGTGAAGTACGCACCACGTTGGAATGAATCCATGTGTAATGCCTATAAGATGAGACAAGCAATGTTCAACTCCTACTGAGCTACCAAGTTACTTAACAAAGTTATAATCAGTTTCATACCAAATAAATATCCACCAGGCTAATTCTAGAACAAGAAAAAATATTGTAAGCCCTCATCTTTGAGTTTTCATGGGAAAGACTAATTCAATGAAACAAAAGGATTGAAACCAACAATCTGAATTGGTATCAATCTAAATCAAAATTGAAACAATCTAAATCTTGTATATCATCTTAACAATATTGAAACCAACAATCTGATTAATAATGATTACTGTATCTAAATTGGTATCACCAAGTTCTATCAATGTGTAAAGAAACATTCGTTTATGGAGAAAAGGACCTCATAGCCTTCACCACAGGGACACTTGAAGTGAATTAACTAAAGACCTCATAACAAGAAAGTAATTAATTTAAGACCAACCAAATCAATAATCAAGATGTTTGAAACTCTGTTGTGGGTAGAACACCAAGAAATCAAGAACTCAAGTTGATCAAGTATTGTTTTTGCAAGTTTTTACTAACCCTTTTGATAAAATCACAAATCTTCTTGATAACCAGATGATGCAATTTGAGTTGTGACATTCTCATGTTTAAAAAAAATACATTACAGAAACTTATCATACCAAAACTAAGTTTTGAAATCAAAATATATCTCATTCGATTCTCAAAATCAAGTGAATGAAACTAGAAGATATGAACTTGGCACTGTTTTTGTCAAGTTCTAAAATGTCTTTACTAAGAGATGCACTTAGTTCTTACCAAATTTTTATCTAATATCCAACACTAACAAAACAAGAAAATCAAAAACAACACAGAGAATAACAAATATCACAAGCCCAAGAAGAAAAAAAAATCCCAAATTTAGTAAGAACAGATCTTGAACCAGTTTGTTTTGAGCTAATAAACATCAAATTCATGATGAACCGAGAAGGCTCAATTTTGAGCTAATAAACACAATCCCTCCAGCATATGTAATGCTTTTGCAACAACCCAATCTATAGTGAACAATGATCAAATATACATACCTAGCTTCTAGAACAATGCCATAGGCAAAATTGAACAAGTGAACAATGCCAGACACACCAATACCCAAGTAAACCAATACCCACATTGAACAATCAAGCAAGACCCATCAAGTAACAATTGAAAAATCAGGTAAGACCCATCAAGTAAACCAATATCCACTATTTTGAAACATACCAGAGATTTTTTGGAGATCTGAAGCTTTCAGTGAAGCTTCGATGGAGCCTTGTCGGTGAAGCTTCAATGATAGATTTGTCGGTGAAGTTTTTAGTGATCTTCAGTGGAGCCTGTGATGAAGCCTTGTCGTTTTGTGCTGTGGAGCTTCAGTGAGAGAGAGAGAGAGAGAGAGAGAAAAGGCCAACGAGCGAGAAGGGCTGACTACATCCAGCGACTGAAAATAGGATTATCTAGTTTACATAATGGAGTAGCTAGCCTCTTAGAGCAACATTTTGGGCAGAAGTTATCTAAAATATCTAAAGGGGTAGGTTTAGCCAGCCTCTTGGAGATGCTCTAATAATATAGTTAGTAATTTGAATTCTCAACTTATACAAATATAACAGTTAATATTGATTTAATTTTTATCTACTTTAATATAATAGTACAAAATTCATCTCAATTTTTTTTCCTGGCTCAAAAACATCATTTCTCTATTATGACCCCTAAATGTTAGACAATTTAACTTACACCCTTCTCAATATAAAACAACCCCGTTAATCCACACATACCTCTTTCTTCTCTCCCCTACTTCTCTTTTATTTCTCTTTGTTCACTTTAATTTTACTTACATAATTAAAGAAAAAGAAAGAAAAAATAAATTGTCATTTAAATTGTATATATTACACGATCAATAATTATTTTTGGTGTTACAGAGTGTCTTCAGGCACAAAATTATTACTAGGTGTTGTATATAATTGTTTGGACCATATCTCATAATTTTTGTGAATAAACAATGAATGACATCTACCCATAAAAGTAAATCCGCTAAAGAGGCGTGACAATCTTAGTTTGCATAATTAAAGAAAAATAAACTACTATTTAAAATATAAATATTACATGATCAATATTTGTTTTTTGGTACTCAGACACATTGTTTTTGCTAGTTGCTATATATAATTATTTAGATCATATTTCATATTTTTTGTGAATAAACAATGAGTAATGCTATTGGGACCTAATTTGCTGACCTAATTCACTATGACCTTTGGATTCACTGTAGACCTCATCAAACATTAGAATTTGGTGTTGATTTAATGATTCCTATGAATTTACATCATTATATCAACAAATTAGATCAAATTTTTAAATCCAAATAGTATTATTCATACACAATGAATGACATTTGCCCATGAAGTGAATCAGTCAAAGTGATGTGCTGGCAATCATTTAATACATGTAAGAAGAAGGAAGTCAGTTGACATGAATTTCAAGAGGCAACGTGGACTTAAAAAATAGATTTTGTAATTATAATTATTGATTTCACTGTGAGTCCTAATATTTATAAGGACCTACTACTTATTCAATAGTTGTGATTATCAAATCTATTTTTTAAGTCTACTTTTTAAATTTACGTAACATTACTCGATTTTCAAATACAAAGAGAAGCAATTACATAAAGTTTCCTGTTTTGAGGGAATAGACAATTACTCTAGAATTCAAAAGACGACATTTATCAACAAAAGGATTAACACTGACTGGGCCTTCAAAAATCACGGAGGCAGCAGTTGGGGCAAGAGAAGAAAATTGAAGAGAATCTGACAAGTACCTATAAAAGAGGCATCAATCAATGGGAGAAGGACATGAGAAAACCTATCAAAGATCCACGACATTTTAGAAGTAGTGTTTAGTATGGTTTAGGTAGGAGTTAGTGTTGTAGTTAAGATTGATTTATTAGTTTCTTGTAACCGGGATTACAGTTCAGATTAATAAAAACATTCCCTTTTGTTAATTCCTATAATTATCTTTTTGCTCTAAGTTTGTAAAAAATCTTGAAATAAGACATTTGAACCCTATTCAAGTAATCGCCCGAAAAGATTATGTAGAAGGGATTACTCCCTCAATCTCAAAAGAAATCAATTGTGTACCAACAAGAATATATAGATGACAAGAAGCTCCTACAAAAGAAATACAGCAAGGAGTCCTACCAAATAGGTAAGTTAAGTTTATAAACATATTTTTCATCTGCAAAAGGTTATGACATAGAGTTGCTCCAATAACTCTGAACCATTTTGTTTGATGCAAGGAGCTACACTCAATAGAGGAAGATAATTAGATTAGAAAAAAACTAGGTACGTTTTAATCTTTCATCATATTTGAATGAGTATTATAGTGGTGCCAAACAGAGAGAAATGGCTTTTGGAATGCTTCTATTTTCAAATGTCTTGGTTCGCTGAAGAGAACTATGAGAATTGATATGTTCGTACGAAGGTGTTTTATTCTAAATGGCACTTCACTGTGTTATATTGAAAAGAGGTGGAAGGTAAAAGAATCATCTGGGCATGTGAATGTTTGCATCTATATATTGGCAAGTGGCTTAAGCTATTTGATTAGTCTGGGATGCATCAGGTTGGGAGATTTTGGAAGACAACATATCCTGCATATCCAGAGGACTTTCTGTTGTTTTCCACCTTCTCTCCTCATAAAACTATGCAGACCTTTTTTTTTTCCATTTTATGGGTACTGTTCCCATAACGTATATGCCTCTGAAGTTCCTCCTTGGGCCAGAGCCAGAAGAGAAAAATTACAGTACATTGATTAGGAAAGCAAGTAAAGTGAAGTATAGAGGTCTACTACATTTCCAAAAGATGGCAGTTTTCTGATTCTTTTTCTGAATAGGGGTTTGTTTATCTTGTAAAAAACAAATCACAAGAAAAAGCAGAAAAAATTATGGTTTATAGAATAAGATAAAGTCGAAAATCAACCATTCATGCTGTTTCATTTTCTGTGTACATCCAAATTCAAAAGAAGGAGAATACCATACATTCCTCAAACCAAAAGAATTTACACATGGAGTTTCCAAAACTTAAAGAAGCATGTCTATATGTCTCAGAAATCTATCAGAGCTGGCATAATGGTGGAATAATTGCAATGCCACCTGGGAAAGAGGGGATATAAATTCTGAGAATTGTGGTAAACTTCCTTAGGGACAGTCAATGGAAATGCAGCTTTGGGAAAGGGTTGAACTATCATCTTTGCTCACAAATGGATTTATCTGGACCCAAACAAGAGAGAAAACAGAAGCCAAAAGCACTGACCACAGAATAACAATGGTAGGAGTCCGGTTTTGGCGCCCCATTAGACCCTTGAGGAATGGATAGAGATGAAGGATCACCCAAAATGCAAAGAACACCTTTCCAAATAAAGGACCCCATGCTTCATAGCCCTTGTTCAATGCATCGGAAAATCCAGCAACAATGCCAACCAAATTCACAACGAGAATGGTTGTGGGGGGGATCAAAACTGTGGTCCACTTGAAGATATATAGCTCTCCAAACTCTGCATCATCAGCTGCTTTGGCAGTCACAGTGAAGTTTGTGTCTAGGCCAGCAAGCATTTTGAGAAATCCTTGGAAGACGGCAAAGAGATGGGCTGAGAGTCCTCCAATCACCCAAAACTGCTCATTACGCCACAAATCCTCAATGCTGACACCACTCCACCGCAGCTCCAGCACACTGGTTGCTATGATCGAAAGGAAGAGGCCAAGAAACCAAACACTTGCCAGGTTTGATAGCTGAACCGAGGTTTGAAAGTAAATCATCCCAAACAAAACTTGAAAAAATTACGAAACCTAGTGAAAACTAGCATGATGAAACATAAAATGAAGCCTGAATTATCAAATTCTCCCTACAAAAAGTAAATTGAGAAAACTTACTGCGTACTAGAGGTGTTAAGTTCAAATGATTTCCATCTTTCTTGGTAAGTAATAAATCTAACAGTTATTCTATTTGATGCATGCGCCTATTTTGTTGGTCAGGAATAATTTAAATAGCATAACCATCCGATAATACTAAATTGATTTGCTTTCTCACCTAAATTCTCAATAAATAAAATTACTTGGTGAGTTTTGGCGCAACAACCAACTTTTTAGCTTCACCAATCCCAGACATTCCATGACAATTTTCAAGGCCTTTTCTAAATCAAAAAGCTTATACTGAGCTAATCCATGTCAGATTCAAAAATGAGAAGGTAAAGAAAATTACCGTTGGTATGATGAATTTTCCAGTTAGAAGGCATATAGCAGGCAGTGAGCAGTATGCAACAAGAGGAAGAGATGTAAAAGGGTAGACGATGGTGTTTATATAGGCAAGTCTTTGGAGCCATTTGAGTCGGCCTCCACCAAAACCATACCAGAGGGGACAGTGTCTGCTCAAGAAAATCTCAACAGATCCAAGTGCCCATCGGAGAACCTGGTGCAAACGATCAGACAAGTTGATAGGTGCTGAACCTTTGAATGCAGGTCTTAAGGGCATGCAGTAAATTGATCTCCATCCTCGACATTGCATCTTGAAGCCTGTCAAGATATCCTCAGTAACTGACCCATATATCCAGCCAATCTGAGAAGACAGAATATGTGAATTTGATCATTTCCAATTCATGGTGAAATGGTTATCAAGAAAGATTCAATCACTAAATTTTTGGCTTAATGAAGTTTAAGAATGGTATGCACGGCAAAACCAGTAATGAAAGGATAATAACTGACACACCAAAAACAAGAAGCAGGTATGACTAACTAAACTAATTAAAAGGCCACTCTACCAAGCTTTCTAGAAATGATCAGAAATTGAATTAAGATGGACAAGATTGAGGTACAAATCCTTTATTTATGATCATAAGGTAAGAGAGCTGGAATGCATTTGTAGAAACTGTCTTTCTTTACTTGTTACACTCCTAAAACTCGAGTGGGATAGGAACAAGAGCAATAGTTGTCACCTCTTTACCCCACGATGTCTTCTCTTCATACCCACAGCTAATGACTTGAATTGCTTCATTGATCAGTGTCGATGGGTTGGCAGATTCAGCTATTCCTCCATTCTCCATAAGTGTAGACTCAATGAAGACAGTAGACAAGCCAAAAGTCTTCTCAAAGCTCCTCTGGGAGATGAGTAATGACCTGTCATACTCATCATAATCTGCAGATGAAAACCCAATTATATCTTTATTATTCAAAAGTTCGATATCTATTTTTCTCAATTAGTATTTCAATGAAGCCAACTTACTCTCAATCTCCCTAAGGTTGAAAATGGCAGCATTTAGATCTTCTTGTTTTGACTCACGCTGAAACTCTGAGAGATCTTTTGTGGGTTTCTTGGTGCGGCAGCAGCAACAGCAGCTGGCACACCACGAGCATGATGAAGAAGCCTTCGGCAGACTGGGCAAAGATTGAGGCCCATAGCCATACAGTGCTTGCCTGTTGAAAACACAACCTGTCCCCACATAAACTGGTCCTTGAATGCCATCCAATCCTTTCATGTTAACCTGAAATCAGGAATTACATGATTCTCAAAAGATCATATAATCATGCAGAAAACAGGGTTAGGTCATGCTAATTTTACTCATGGATGTAACAGTCTGAAAGTTTTTTAAATTCTTGCTTCCATCCTACTTTTAATACATTTTACCTTTTAGAACTTATGTGCTTCTTTGATAGGTAATTCATTCTTATTACTGATTTGAAAAGAGAAACACTTTTTACTGAAGTTTGACTCGACTAGAATCAAGATAAGTCTATCTTCATGTAATTTGGAAAATCATTAAATGCCAAAAATTTCTGAAAGTTCAATAAAATCTCATTTACAAATTCGACCATAAATTCTTGAACTGGTTTCATTCCTAAAATTCACTAGATCAAAAATTCGAAATGGTTGGACACTTTAATATCTTTCCAAAAACTTCCCTAATTTGCAGGCTTATTTCAGCTGACCTCACTCTTCTTACTGAACTCTATTTGATTCTTTATGATTGAATATGAATTGTGCCCTCGACAGCAGCTTACTCTATTAAAGTTAAAACAGCATATATCATACATCAAAGAAGACAATGTTGCGATTGGCATATCGGTCACTGCGATCAATGCCATCAAACCTCTGTGGGAACTGCACATAACATACATCTCGACCAACTTGTGGATCCATCAAGAAACACATGGCCTCCCGGACTGCTTTGCTGTTGTTAACATAGTGATCACAGTCAAGGTTGAGAATGTATGGTGCATTTGTGAGGATTGCGGACACCCTTACCTGTAAATAGCAGACAATTATGTGTAACAGCAACAAGATACTTAACTGTTCAAAAATGAAATGCTACTTTCCTAGGATAGTGTGCAAAAAACTGTGTACCAGAGCATTTTCAGCACCAGCTTTTTTGTGGTGTTGGTAGCCAGGTCTCTTCTCTCTTGAGACATAAACCAGTCGAGGAAGCTCATTTCCCTCTATATCATGGGCGCCACTATGTCCAAGAAAAACCTGAGTGAGGGACAAAGAACTGCTTTAATTGAGAACTCATTTTTCTTAACATTGTAAAGTATGTTACCAGGAATATTGCTTTGAAGAATAATAAAGTTAAGAAACCATAACATCGTGAATCAATTTCCCAACAAATCTCTGCTTGTGGTAAAGCAAAGGAAGAAATGGCATCAGTAAAAATGGAAAAAGGGAATACCCTAATTTTGTCTTCCTATGTTCACCAACCTCATGTTTGCATAGTATGGGACTTGTTTAAAATTCAGAATAACATTTTCAACATTTTCCACGACAAGCAAAAGAACTCATTAACTAAAGCTGTTAGGTTTTAATCCAAAGAATGTAAGTCTTTGTAATGAACTTGATATTTATACCTCTTCTTTAGCTTGATCAAACACTGACAAAATTTGTTTGCAGTACCTTTATTTGTACTGCCTACTGATGGAAACAAAATTTCAGGAAATGGAATGCATATACAATTGTAGGAGACAGAGACCAAATGTATTCCATTAATTAGATCATTGAACAAATGTTATAGACAAGAATTAAAAGAATAAAAACTGATAAATTGACATGACCTGAATCATGCCAGGGTGGTCACGGGTGTTGTTTCCTGGCCAAGATGTTCCATCTTGCATAATCCAGCCCTCATCTGGTGTTTTCTGAGCCTTTGCTACTAAAGCATTTACCCGAACTTTGTACTCTTCATAATCTCTCTAATTCAATATAAAACCAATAATGAATTATTAATTTGGGATTTCTATGGAACTATATTGAATCCAATTTACCATGTTACAGCACCAAATGATACAGATGTTAGAAAAGTATAACTTTTTAAGAGCTTTAAACTATAATACGGCTCCAGATGCTTACTTTCATTGCTCTACGTTCTTTGACAAAAGAAGGTTGCACTTTGTCCTTCAAGTAATCTATTTTTTGTGAGAAGTAAAACTCAGGTGCACGTGGTTCAATTGAAAATTTTTTGCAGAATGGAACCCATTTCCTTGCAAAATCGGCTGTTTCTACCAGGGATTCAAATGTAAGCATTGCAGCACCATCATCAGACACATAGCAGGAGACTTTATCGACAGGGTAGTCCACAGCAAGGATTGAAAGCACAGTATTGGCAGTAATCAGAGGTGGCTCTTTCAAAGGATCAACTGTACTCACAAAGAAGTCCACAGCAGCAAGCTCAGAAGGTTCACCCTCTCTTTCATACCTGGGATGGCAGAGAGATTTATTATATGTACAAGATAAAAATCAAGATGTTATGTTAAATTAAGCATCTGAACAAGAAATTTATTAAGGGGAGGAAAGACAGATTAAGCTATTTTTTAAAGGAATTCTAGTGGAAACATCATATTTTAATGCGCAAGGTATATAAAAGTCAAAATCATAAAGATGTCGTATAAGACGCTGATATAACGACGTAAAAGATGGTACTTCATAAAAGAACCTATATATTAGAGAGAACTTAAAAACTTTTCTGATACAGCAAAAAGTTCTGGGCATAAACACAAAACAAGCTTATAACATATCACAATTTTAGGGAGACTCAGCACCATTAAAACATCTGCACATTTTGAAGTTGTAAATATATACCTTGCAGATAGCCTGTTGAGAAATGTTTCCCTATTAATAGGACACCATTTAGGGAATTGATCCAACACCCAAGAAAAAGCAAACCAGATCTCGCAGATGACAGAAGTGAGCCACAATCCAAATGCACTGTCAACAGGATTTGTTACTCTATAATGGAAGAAAAGGGCCAGAATGATCAATCGCACAATAATGACAGTCCTGTATGGACTAAGCTGGCTCTTTGGAATTGGAATAACTGCTGACAGTGGCTGTGCAGCCTCTTGTGCCCTGCATGAGCAATTATCACATACAAATTTTAATCCAAAACTACTCCGATATACAAACCATACTAATGTAGCCTAAACATCATGCATTCACAAGTAAGAGAAATGTTGTCAAGTTTTTCTTGAAAATTAGATTCAACCCTCAGTAACTTATCTATTTGACTGATGACATCAGAAGATAAAGCATGATTATGTAATGATGAAACCAAACCAGAGAATATTGCAAGTGTATAAGATAATTTCTACTACATAAAAGACTCTGCTGCTCTATGCACTAGAGGATTAAACTTCAGGACTTTTCCCCCTCATTCTGAAGTAAAAATCTCAGGTCAGCAACATAAGCCATGTCTACTTGAAAGAATCACTGTTTCAATTATGACTCAAAACAAGATGTTTTTTTCTTTCAGCCAAAAATAACCTATGAAAATGTTTATTTCATAAATCTCTGTATCAAACATCTATCCAAATGACAAAACAACTGTCAGATAACACTAAAATGCTTAGATAAATACTCCCAATGGTACCAGAATCACCTTAGATTTCTAAGTGTTATAGGAATATATGCCATTAAAAAAGTACTTTCTAATTATAGTTTTTATAATTATGGAGATAGCATTTCACTCGCTGTTTAGACATCATTGTATTTTCAGCATACACTTTTTTGTCTGTTAATTTTCTATATACTTACTGCTGCTTTTCGTCCATCTGCTGCTCAGGTGGAATTTGAACTTCTTTAACAACCTTGCTTGCAGCCTTTTTCTTCTTGTTCTTCTTGTCCTTCCAACTTTCCACCCTATTCTTCCATATGGGGTTCCCAGATTCATCAATTAAATCTTGGGGAAAAGAAACACCAGATAAGTTAGCGTACAATTTTGTAACAAAATGATAACAAAATATTTTGAATTGATTATATAATAAAAAACGGACTAATTTACTCACCACTGTCCACTGTAGACACAGTACTTATATTTCTCACATGGAGTCCGACATCCTGTACCAACCAAGATAGATTTCAGAACTCTTTTGGCAATCTACACCAAAGCTTTATATAGAGTGCATAAAAATTCCAACCATACATAAAAGGTGCTAAAAAAAGTTCAGTTCAAAAATTTTCATTAGCAAGTACCTACATACATCCATTCTAATCAAGCATGGACATTCATACCTGACCATTATTAAGGTGAGCTGCCATTGTGGAATGGTTTCTAGATCCCTCTACAACATCAGCCACTGTTGAGTTATCTGTGGAGTTCAACAATCATGTATTATAGAGTGCCAAATTAAAATGGCAGAGTATATCATTCTTTTATTTTTCAAAAACATATATTCTCATTCAAACATTCAGCACCAACCCCTTATGAGTCACCATGTCAATCACAGTTTTAACTGAGTTTTTAACAACTACAGATCCATCAATTAGCCGTATACATAGCTTACCTTCAAAAGTTTGAAAATATATATAACAGAAAAACTGAGAGATCTATCTTCGAAAAAATATAAAAAAAGTTCTAATTTCTGTGTGTATGTGAAATGCTATGCATATATGAATTTCAAATTATGTTAATTCAGCCTATAAATGCATTATTGACACCCTTGCACACAAAGGCACTAGGCAAAACATTTCACTGGTGTGTGTATATGTGGTAAGTGTTGATGATACCTAAGAATATTACAGCTTGGACAAGGAACACGTCAGTCTGAACATCCAATTCATCACCCACCGAGCTGACCTGGCACAATCCAGCTCAGTAGTGGGTCCCCAGAAATACAGCTCTAATCAAAACTCTCTCTCAACCAGGGGTTTGCCTAAGAGGGCAGCAGAGGAATTTCACCACCACCCCCTTGCTCTAGGCACGGGCATTGCTTTTAGAAGGTCACATTATACCTTGGGCAGGAAGCCTCCTAACTACCAAATACTCCCAAACAAATCAGTTATAAAAGCAATCATTACTGTGTAGAAAGGGAAGCCTAGGCACTACCCTAAGCAAGAGAAACCCCACCCTAATATATTCATCTCCTTCCTCAAGCAATACACAATCAAAGAGCCAGAGCCTCCATTGCTGTGGACTACTCATGCCCTTCAGCACAACGAACCACTCTAAAAACTTGTGCATATTTTTACCTCCTCTAATTTACAGCTCACCCAATTAGCTCACAATTCATTCATCCTACTCATACTTCTCGGTATCTCACACATTCAAATATATTTATAAATTTTTCGGGTTAATAGAAAATCTATTTGAAAGCCGATCCCAAATAATTGGAAGAAGGGTGTGTTTTGTCTGGTTTTACATACACAAAATCAACTTCAAACATGACCAACAACCATATTCTAAAGGCAAAGGGATTTCAGAGTTAGATAGATATATACCATCATAGGGAGCGTGACATCGTATACAAGCATTGCGACCCTCCTTAATCTCATAATCGAAACACGATTTGCAAATTGGGTAATTACAGTCATGGCAACCCACAAACACTTCTCCATCAGAACTCAACCCGACGTGTTCTCCACAGGTGTTGCAAATAGGAACCCCAGACTCCATCATCTTAATCGCACTTCCCTTTCTTCAGAAACCCTTTTTACCCTGACCCTAGCTAAAGGTCTATGCTCACTCTCTCTCCCCTCTCTATCTCTCAGAGCAATGGTTTCTTGTTCTTCTTCTGTATATAAAGAACACTTAATTCTTCCCAGAAAAATATGTTGCTTACTGTGTAATGGTGTAGGCATTTTTGTAGTGGGGAAGAAGGATGGAGGGTGATAGAGGTTGTTGGTAGGGCATGGAGGTTGGGGTGTTGGTATCATATTGTTTCTGAGAGAGAGAGATGGGAAGCAACGTCTTTTTCTTTGTTTAAAGTTTTGAAAAAATTGCGGGAGTTTTAAGGAAGGCTGCGGTTGGGCTTGGTACATCTTAACCGACCAAACAACCGTGAAGCTGACGGTTTAAATGGATTGAACAAATCTTAGCTTTGCTACTTGTTTTGGGGCTAACCTGAATAACAAAAGGATCGAATTAGTATTAAATGTAAATAACCCGTAAACTATAGAAAAAAATGTAAGATTTTTTTTTTTTAATATTTCGTATCGATCTAATACTGCATAAATTATTTTAAATAAATTTTCATTTGATTTTGCTAGGGTTTGAATTATTTTGATTTTTTACTAAAGGGAGATCCATGTCTAGTTGAATTAGTTGAGAGAAAAAATAAACTACTAGCCTTGCAATTTTCGATTCATCATTTGCACAAGACATGACACAAACCCTCAATGCCACAATCCAATTACTCAATCATGACAACACGACTCTATTAACACCCCCTCCACCCAATTGATCCATCCAAACACACTTGATTAACAGAGGCCAAACTCAAAAACCAACTATTCAATTTGTTTCGGGTATACCTTGACTTTCTTCTAGTGCCTAAGCTGCATCTCAGATTTGAAGGAATTCTCTGAAGTCTTTGTTTCTCAAAAACAAAGCAGAGCCGAGCCTGAACAGAGCCAAGCTCGGGCCTTCGGCTCGATTAACACCCCCAAACCATATGAACCCAGTTTATGGTGGAACCTCAACAATTCTTTGGGTCCTGACCCTGTAACTAACACAAAATCCTGATTTACAATTTCATTTTTCTGTGCACCTACTTTTGGTTGATATTGTCCGTGACAGCTATTTATTAATGCCAGGAAAATTTTAGGAATCGTGCAGACTGATTTGTAGGTATCGAACTTCTCATGCAGCTCAGAGCTGTCCAACAGCCAGAAAATAAACATTTAGCAGTCGTCCTGACAGAAGATTAAGATTTATACATACATAATTGTGCTTGAAAACAACAACACAATTTTCTCAAATGATTGCTTGCTTGTAATAAGCCAAGATACAGATATCAGTGCTATTTATCTTCTACATCTCTATACTTTCATCAGACGTCAGTCAAAACCATGAACAGCTTCGCATTTTAAGATTTCCAATATGGTATTGTAACAGGTATCTAAATCTTCTGAATCACATCCAAATAACCACCATTCCTCCAAGCTCAGGTAGAGAATGCCCCTAGCCCAGTAGTCCAGTTACAAGCACGGCGCAAGGGTACTCACCCGACAATAGTTTGAGCACCAACCAAGCACAGTAAAAATCACACATCTGGTAAAAAATCACGGGTCTTGCAAGAATGAACACATTCCATACGAGCAGCAACCTTTGCAAGTACACCAGGTCTTGCTTTCTTGGAATTTTCCCGCAAAAGTACAAAATTGTGCAGTGATTTATGTAATAGTATAAACCTTCACCACTTTGGATGTGTCGCAGACAACAAGGTTTTCTGTATCAGTTGGAGTGGTGCAAAGCCAATTGACCTGATCAGTCGAGCAGGTAAATGGTTAACCAAAAGGATTATAAGTAATAACGAGAAATAAAGGAACACAGAACCAACAAACGTTGAGGAAAATGGAGAGGAGCTCACTTTTTTGCTCAAATTAATATTTAGAGGTCGAAGATCAGTCTCATGGCTAGTTTGACCAGCATTAAAGTATTTGGCCCATTCCCAAACCTTGATGCATTTATCGTTTCCACCTGATAGTATGAACTTCCCTTTCTCGCCAAACATTGAAAAGGCCCTAATAGGAATGTAATGATATTACTGAAGGAATTAAACTACACCGCACCTGATAATTTCCATTACTGAGTTACTTACACGCAGGATACTGCAGCAGTATGCCCTCCAAGAATGTAATCCAAATGCAAATTGTTTCTTCCAACTTGATCTTGGCTTTTGGTATCTGCAGATGGAACATTACCTTTTGACCTTGACTGTGAACCCTTCTGGGGTTTTAGGGAACTTTTTGACTTAATTGAAGCAATTTCTGATTCGATATTAACGACACTGACAACGCCATCACCCCTAGCTGCAACACATATCTTGTCTAATTTATCTACCATATCAACTTCAGGAACTGCTATTGCATGGACAAAAGCAGGGTTCAAAGACTGTCCCATATTACCACTACTGCCTACTTCATGGATGCCTGCAGCACACAAAATACCAATCCACTTAATTTTCAGACAAAAATAGAAGTCAACTCATCTAAGCATAAAAATGGCATTTAAGATCTCATCTGTTTCTATTGACAATAAAGCAACCCTCAAACCAACTAAATCAATAATGTCGACAAAGGGTGCATCATTTCTTATTTATTCTCACGTATATTGAGATGGAATGATAAATTTATGACTTGAAAAAGCCATTGAATGGTTAAAACATTTATCCCACGAGAATGAAATCAATTCCACTCATTTTCAGGAACACAGAAAAGTACTCCAAATAATAGGAAGTTTCTTGTGAACTGCTAGACTACTCAATATGCAAGCAAATCACATACACCACTGACCACAACCTACTCAATATATGCTATCACACATTAAATCCTGTAAACTTGACTTCTGTTCACATAGTAATTGTTTATCTGCCAAGTATCATGCAGAAAGATAAACTGTATATTGTCAACTCCAAGAACTGCCCAGGAAATGGACAAAATGATTGTTGTGTAAATGGGCTGTGTTGCTTGAGGTGAACCCAAACAAAACTGGAGTTGATCAAAAAATTATGTCCTCGGGCCACTATAGAAGACCTAAGCCTTTCTGAAGCCAATATTAGAGCACACAAGGCAAACATGATATTAGATGTTCATACCAAAGTCCAAAACTTTGCATGGGCGTCCTTTGGAGAAATCCCACATAATAAGTTTTGAATCAAGGCCACCAGTAATGGCTGCAAAAGTATCCATACACAAAATGCCAGTCAATTACAATAATACCACATACAAATTGCCAGAGTATGCCTGGAAGGCTGGAATAAATTGAAAACAATCAGCTAAATCCTTTGCATGCAAAATTGTGCATAACTGTGGCAGAGTTTGAAAGCGAAGATTTTAACGAGTACAAGTCGGAAAAGAGGAAGAGGAGAAGAAGAATAAGGAAGGCAGAAGAAGATTTACAAATCACAACTACATCTCTACTGCAAGCAAGCATGTAATAATGGTGGCACAAACACCAATCTGATGGAAATTACAAAAAAAAGATGGGCATAATGAGTTTTGCCTAACACCATCGTATATGGGTTGCAAGTTAATGCACAATAATTCAAAGCTATGTACTCCACAAGCAGCTTGTTGACCCATAAATTAAATGTCAGACACACTGTTCCCAAAAACATAAATGCAATTATCCTTATAAGACTCCAACAATCAATGGTTAGCATGCTGAGTGGATTTTGCTATGACTCGTTACACAATAAATCAAGAATGCATTAAGTAAACACGGATATGAAGCTTTACTCACTTCTCTTTTCTTTAGAATTTTAGCTCATTATTTCCTTTACAAATTAGACAGCTTATAAAGTTTTTAGAGGAGTTGCATATCAATATAGTGCTAGCAATCTCCATAGTTCCATGTATTCAGACACTGTTGCCCATGTCTGGTTGTCTGTAAACCACATGAAAGCATGCATCAGGTCAGCATAAAAAAGCCATTGCCCAGTCTCGCTCTCATTATAAGGAGCACCAGGACAGGTGTGCACAAAGCAGTTACCCTCATCCTTGCACGCACCCCTTTACTATGCCAGACATCAGAAACTAAACCCGAAAGTATGAATTCAGCTTAGACTTCGTATCACTTCACATGTAATTACATGTGTTACACTTTTGCCACTAAATTAATTAGGAAGAGATGTAGCTAGCCAGTGATAATAAAGTAAGTCACTTTAGATGAGTAATTATTCCTCAGGGAAACATTGCGGATGGGCATCCACAGAATCCCCAACCACCTGATATGCCAGATATCAACTGAACCCATTGATTCAATAACAACCTGAACATGATACTCCTTCTCAACCACGGTTCTCTTCTCCAAAAATCAAAAGCCCAGATATTACACTGAAAGCAAAAGTAGTAGAAAATCCTAAAACCGATGCTTTCCAACTGAAACTACAAAGACAAATCATTTTCCTGTCGCATTGAAAATGGTCAGTGGACCTCATCTCACTCTTAAATGGCTTAAATGGCCAAGGAATACGAACTTCTGGTACTATCCAATAAAAGAATTTCCATCCTAAAAGCTTCTATTCCTATCAGCATCCCGCTTTCAGGAAATTTCCACCATATGTCACATAACACCCAATGCAAGAGTTATCCCTGACATTCTTATAATTTTTAGAGCCATAACGACCGAACAATATAATCAATAACCAAATGTAAAATCGCTCACTGAGTGCGAACTTATGGCACAAGGAGTCCAGTTACAACCAGATGTAGATAGTAAGGGTTGTTGTTGTTTGTGCACAAAAGAATGCAAAAGTAAATGTGCGTGTGAGTGTGTGTGTGTGTGAGAGAGAGAGAGAGAGAGAAACTTGTGCATCCCAAATAGAATTAAAGGAATGTTAAAGAAGTACCCTCCCATGGTCTCCAAGGAAGGAATTGAACACTGCTACAAATCTGAAGAAAGTCGTAAAGGTGACATACATGATAAATTGTCCGAGAGCAGAAAGGCCATTTGAATCAAAGGGTAAAATGCATTTTACTCCATTGTTATTTGGGACAATTGCACAAAATCCCCTTGTGCTAACCATACATATATTGTGTTAATCAAAAAGTATAAAAGGAATATCATCCCCTTACCAATTTAGATTTGCCAGACCCATCTCTTTCTGTCTGAACCACGACCAACTAAATCATTACCACCACAACAGTAAAAATAACAAAAAGGTCATCAAGAAAACACACTGACAGCCACTCACCTACACATACACACCAGACACAAACATAATCTAACAAACTCGGACTTAAATATGTGTACCCATAACACATCTGGGGCCACCTTCACCTCCAATTCCACCTCGATGACCTCAACAAGAAAGCGCGCACATAACACATATGGACACATGCCTATTATATCTCTCTATAAATGTATGTGAATACATAAATGTACATAATTACAGGCATAATTTTGAAAGAATATTTATTTTTAGTGGGTATTTCAAAGAAAAAAAAAAGTTGTGATCGAGTAAGATGGAAAAATAAGGGGTGATTTTATGGTAGAGAAAAAAAGATGATGATGATGGTGGGAAGGGGATTTGTTACACGTAACAGAGACAGTTTTTTCTTACCTTCTAATATTTTTGAAGACAAAAAAAGTAAAAATATAAAGGATGAACAATTTTGTTGAAGGTGGGCTTTTTGCTAGAGAGATTCAGAGACTACAATGGTGAGATAATGGTGGTCGGTTTTTGTTAATTATTGCAGAGGTAGTTCTGTAACTTCCTTTTCTAGCTTTCAAAAGAGAAATGGTGTGAAAAATACTAAAATAAGTAGTTTGTCAAATACTGCTGCTGTTGGTAGATATTTAGTTAAAGACGCGATAAGAAAAGCGAAACAAGATGGAGGAATGGAAAGGCATTTTTATAATCAGGATTTTGACTGAGTGTTCTTCTATTAGTTTTAATGGAAAATTCACAACCATAAGGCGGGCATATGGCTGTTTCGGAAGCATTGAGGGTTATTTATAGCTCGGCCATGTCATAGGAGGTAAATTGCAATTTACCCTGAGAAAAAACACAAACTTAGTATAATGAGAGCTGCATGAATCAACCTTAACAGCTCTACCGTATATATTAAGACCTCACCCTTAAGACGCCAAAAGGCTTGATATACACAGAAAGAGACCAGGAGCACTCCTAACTACCACTAATAAGAGGAACTAAATTTTTTTAGCACTCTTATGACAAACCAATCACAATTTTAATAAGCCTCTTGGAGTCATTGTAAAAAAGGTGAAAAATCAGTGGAAGCGGATACACTTGTGTGGCCAGCTCTTAATGTTTTATATAGGCATTGCTGCTGGATGTCAATGATCTGCATAAGAGAGCAATAGTCAGTATAGTTGAATGATGGAAACCACAGTATTGATAACACAATTGTCCTAGTTCGATATGTATCATAATTTACATTTACATTAATGCATCTACAAATATTCTAGATACATAATATGTACATATATGTGTATGTGTGTGTGTTTTTGAGGGTTTTTGAGAGAGAGACAGAGAAAGATCTCAAAATCAGCACACAGACTCTTCAAGTATGATAAACCAGGAAATTGTGAGAGGCAAGTACCAAGTAGAAAGAGTGGATATTGATCCATCTATTCCATATATAACATAAAACTAATGTTTCTCCTGTCAATCTTTGAAGATGCTAAGTCTTATTTCCAATTTTTTTCAATCTCAAGGTGGAACACTAGGATATTGATTAGTAATTCTGTGTCAACGATCCCACCAAGTCTGAAGAACATCAAAAACACAGATTCAAAATGATGATGATGACCTTCAGAACACTGTGATCAAGGTAAGAGTTCTCAAGGTTCAAGCATGTTCTTAGTAAGGTAAGAGACCTAAATGCCTTAGAATTCACGTCAGTTCCTTAGATTAGTTTAAAATCTGCATAGTCTAAGAGTATGCCGAGTAGGTCCGTTCGACCAGTGCGTGCTACATGTGCACTGCACTTTCTACAATTAATTCCATTGATTAAGTCTAACTTTTTCCCTTAACTCAATCGTATGTGCTACTCATAAGAAAAGATAAACAGGCCTCATACAAGGGCAATTCCAGCAGAAATAGTTGACTTTATTGTGAGAAAATAACTGAAATTTGACACACCCATGTAAAGAAGTACAAATATAAATTATTACATGGAATTCAATACAGATACATATTTAAAATGTTAAACAAACACTTCATAAGACAATCATACCTTAATATCGCCTCCATCATCTGCAGTAGCAAGGAAAGATGACTTTGAATTGCAGGCAATCTGCATAAGCAGAAATGAGATGCTAAGGTGAATTCAAAGCAGCAAGGAAAGATGACTCTGAATTGCAGGCAATCTGGATACATAGAAATGAACATATTATATAAAGCTCTACCATGCATAGTTGTTTTTGACCAAAAAAGTCCACCAGAGGGATGGAGATGCTAAGGTCAACTCAAATATGAACCACAACATATGCATGAGAACACATTTAAAACTTAAGACAGAAAAAAAAAACTAGATAAAGAAACAAAACATTCAAACAAGTTGGATGGCTTCTGCAAGCAAGGTTGAGATGAATAAGTTTCATAATCACAAAATTAACCAAGTTGGTAAGGATATTTTGGAAATCATTGGTGAGGAGGAAATACTAAGGTTGGTTGTGGAGCAATGACAGCTGTACCATGCCTACACCAACTAGAAGAAGAAAGAGGGGGCAATGACACATGAACTCAAGCTTAGGCACAATCTGAAAGAAATAAAATAACCATTACCAAGGAATATTGCAACCAAACAATTAGCAACTGAAGAAGTTGGATACAGTAGTACATTCTAGTTATGTAGCGAGACATCTACAGATCAAAGACACCTACTTAATAATAATAAAAATAAAGGCATGAAATGTGCATGGACGCTATGCACACTGATATAAAATACGGCTTTCAGGAACATATAATAGGACTACAAAGCATATGAGCTGGCCTGGCCAGCTTATGACATGACATCAGCATAAAAAATCTACAAAATATAACTCAAATGCTATATAAGCATTAGTATGAAATTGTCAAATAAAAAGAATAGAACAAAATACAGATCCCAAGGGTATCATAAATCACTGTTTCAGTTGCTCAATTTCAGACACAAAAGGAAAATACGGCTGCACTGATCAGTTCCTAGATTCATGAAAAAGTTACATGTAAGTGTAAGACAACTAGGAAAATAATTTCACAATCAACAATCGTCAGGAACTCACACCTGGTTTATCTCCTCTTTGTTATAGTTGAAGCTCTCTAACGGCTTCCACGAGTCAGCCTACAATATTGAAGTAATAATGTATAAGTAATCAAAACTATAGATATAACACCGTGTGGAACAAAGAATATTTCTTTATAAAAGAAAAACTTAAGATTAGAAAAGAAAATATTTGTGTACTGCATACTGCACACCTAAGGTAGTAAGTTTAAAGAAGATAACAATTAATGCACAGAACATACTGCATGTGTTCTGGTCTGAAGTCACAAGCATGACATAAATAAACAACATGCAAAGTTTACAGGAAGTAGAGCCACCATTTATATTTATGAGTCGAAAGGAATGGTTTCACCCCAGTTGAGCAATTTCATGATTAGGAACCAAACTCAGAAGAGTCTGAAAAGTAAAAACGAATATATTGAAAGAAAAAGTTGAAAAATATATTCTTTTGCCATATCCAAAAATCAAGGAAATTTTCATAAGTTGAATACCAAACGTTGCAAAAGAACATCAAAAAGGGAAAAAAGGAATGCTGGGTACATAATAATTTTTATTTTCACCATCAATGCAGAAGAAAAGTTGAACCAATCACCAATCAATTGCTCATTGAATGAAAACCCAAACAAATCAAAAAAAAAATTAAGTATTCATTGGCCAATTCTGGACTTAAAGTTGTGCTTATTTCTAACACTAAAACAACTTGTGAGTTAATGAAACACTATGTAAGCTTGCATATTACGCCCCAATCGATTCAAATATTGTAAGTCAAAGTCAATTTAGAGCTGCAAGATGGGCATGCCTTTCAGTTAAACCAAGCTACCCGAGCTTAATGTATTTTTTGATCAGCTATAAAGCAACACATAAGGAACATATACAATAATGTACATGCTTCCATTCCATAACACAAAAAAACGTAGCCTGTCAACAGAAGGAACGGCTAATTAGTTTGAAAGAAAAGTATGCCAAATCAAACACAGCAGCTTGCTAAGAACACCAAACCAAGCTCAAACCTAACACAAGAATCTGAGAATGAGCTAAACCCGAGATTAACATACTCTTTGATCGACCAAGCCAAGCCTAAGCAAACCAATGCCCAGCTCGACCAGACTTGTTTACAGCCTTAAACTGGGCTGTCAAAAAAGTCTGAGGGCAACGGGCATATTGGAAATGAACATTATTTCTAGAATTGCATCTAGTTGCTAAGATCTCTCTCCCCCCGCTTGCTTGGTGAGGATAAAGAGAATCCATAACAAAAGACCACTGAGGCTTTGGGCAAAGACCATCTGCATGATAGGGCATATAACATATAGTCACCTTTGGACTGAATTAGCTAAAAGCCAATATAAATTGGAAGACCAGATCCACAATAGAAATGAAATAGCTCACAACAAGCATTTAATCCAAAAACTAATCAAAATTCAACTTGTTGCAAATGAATATAACATTGTGTCTAATAAATGGTATGATTACCAGATGCACATCAAAACACTTGACTTCATTTCCGGAGGAAACATATATGATATCTTCATTTCCTGCATCCCCCAACAATCATTTGAAATTATAGAATTCCAATCTTATTCATCTTCAAGTATGAATGCCATTGAAAGTTATTAACCATAAAATAGCATTAAAAGCCAAAAATAAGATATGTATAATATCATACATTAAAATCAATGATCTACCTTAACTCAGTTAACTGACTTCAAAAGGAAGAGTTACATCATTTCAGCCAAAGGACAAAACCATATTAAAGATAAGCTCATTAAATCGGAAGCAAAATAGCTTATCATCTCAACTCAACCCGAACTATTTAAACTCTCGAGTCTGGATTGTAGTTGTCGTCACCTTACACTGAGGCAGAGTGAGTAATCAACATATTGACTTTCCACACATACTTTATGTCAATAGATACGAGAGTTCATGTACTCTATGCAATGTGTGACATCTAAAGCTCCATATGTACAATAACACCCAGTTGATCCCATTAAAAGGGTCTGAGAGGGATAGATTGGGTTTAGACCTAATATTTGACATTATTTGCACAAAATGATTGACCTCTGGATCAAATTGACACAAACAATATATATTAGTTATATGCACTTGGGTAAAGTTGACTGTGGAGAACTTTAAATACCAATATTTGAAGCAGTACAAGAAAGAGAAATTGACCTTGCTTGAAGCATAAAGACGAAATAGGATTATTGCTCCCCAAATCCATGACAAATAACACATCTTTGCATCGCATATCGAACCAGCAAACACAACCATCCTATATGACATCAGAATCAACTCAAAGCATTAAAATTATGAACTTCAAAGATAGATGAACTCAAGAATTACTCATTCTCAGCCAAAACGCATAAAACTTTCAAAATACAACCGGAAATTTTCCTTAATTGTTCCTACTGACCCTAATTCAGCATGCACAACAGAACAAGTGTATACAGATACATAGTAAATAGAAGTGCATATATGGGAGGAGAGAGAGAATATAAAATGGATACCTCGCCAGAAGTAGCAACGAGACCAGGGCGATGACGAGAGGCGATACAGCAGGTGGCGGTGGCCTTGTGACCTTTCAATCGTCTTGGTTCCGCCATGGTCTCTGTCTCTCTCTCTCTGCTTTAGTTGTTCGTTTCCTTCAATACACAGTGGACACACTCTGTCGATCACGGAGTAAGTGCTAAATTATAGTGGGCTAATTGGGCCCAAAATTGGGCAAAACACAACGTGTCTTTCCTGAGCCTACCCTTCTTTAGGGGATAATAAATAAGGCTACGGATTTTTTGGGAGTGAGTACAATTTTTTAGATTTATGTAAATAAAAGTGTATGGATAAGTTATTTATTCTATTAAGTATAATTTTTATAAAATTTTTCCGTGTGTCAGGTACAAAATTCAAAATGAATTAAAATATTTTTTATCTAAACACTCTTCCTTAATTTATACAGTCATCATTGACAGTTATTTGACGAAACAAATATGTAAAGATTAACAATAACAACGAGGTAAAATAAGAGTTTACAGAGAGCAAAAGAGAGTAAAAGCAAAGGTATTTCGTGCTAGAAGATGAAGATAAATGAGTATGGGTGCAAAGTATAAGTATATATATGTGTGTGTGTGTCGTCCTGTGCCACTAACCTTGCTTCTACTGACCAAAATAAATAAAATATTTTACTATAATTATTGATCAAATCCTGAATTTTTTTCCCCAAAAAAAAAAAAAGAAAATCGTTCAAGATGTTTTATTAGATATTATATATTTTTAGTTGTTGTTCGGATGTAGGAAAAAAAGAACTTACTGTTTTTTAATGAGTATAACTGTTTTTTATTGAGTAAAACTATTTTTTAATAGGTGTAACTATTTTTTAATGAGTGTAACTATTTTTTAATAGATGTAACTATTTTTTTAATAAATGTAACTGTTTTTTTGATTGATGTAACAATCACAGTCTCATGCAATTGTTAAGGCATGATGGTGTAATAATATCACAATATTAAATGGTGCAACTATTTAGTTTATATAAATAACTGAATGACAAATTAAGTTGATGTCATAATTTTTGTGTAATTATTTTGTGTAACTGTTTGGTTTATTAGAACACATGAATAACTGTTTTGTGTATTATAGGACAATTGTAACTGATTGATGTAACTGATTAGTGTAATTATGTTGTCGTAATATTAATATAAATAGAGTAAGAGAAAATAGGGAAAAATAGATAGAGAAATTGTTAGAAAAAATATGCCCCTATTTTACCTCTCATTACTTGATTGTAGTAAAAAAAAAAAGAATACAAAAAGGTTTTCATCCATATAATGTTTACCGATGACAATAGTGATATTTTAAAAAATATGCACTTTATACTAAATAAGTTTTTGACTTGTATTTTTCTCAAATAAGTCTAAAAAATTGTACCAACTTCTAAATTTCCCTAAGGCTACATTATAGCAGTTAAAAAAGAAGGGGAGTGTTCCGGTACCGTACCTTTATTTTTAAGTTAATGAAAATACACCATATCTATATATATATTTTTTAATTAAATAATTATAAATCATTCAATTCAAAATTAATGGTCCAAATTATTTTTTGGCACTGTATTGTAAAACCACCATATGTAGGGCTGATAATTGAGTCGAGTTACTCGGGCTTAACTCGGATAAAACTTAACTCGAGCTCGACTCGTGTTAATTTTTTAGACTCGTTAAAAAAATGAGCCTAAAAAACTCGGTTCGAACTTGCAAAAAACTGCTTGCTTGTGTGTAAGATAATCGAGTTACTCAGATTCAGCTCATTTTTTAAACAAGTTGAATTTGAATAATTTTTAAAACTCATTTAAAAAAATAAGCTCGGCAAGCTCGACTCTATTATAGAGTAAGTCATAAATAATCTTATTTTTATTTGAGACTCACTCATCTCACACTCATTCAAAGAATGATATACATTTAAATTTAAACTTCTGACTTTCATTTCCGTTACGTAGCATTTTCTATTCAATTAATGGCAAACTTGAACGAAAAAGGCCATGTTAAATCAGATTACATCGTTCAGAGGGTTAAATTAGTACAAATGATACAGTTGGAGCCAAATAAGTAGTTATCTTTCGACAATCCACTTAAACAAAATAATAACTAATCTTGGTACAAAATATGAGCTACCATTCTAACTGGACCAATTTTTCAGCATTTTTAAAATTTAGAGTGCATTTTTAATTGGTAAATATTATAATTGGTCCTAAAAAGTTTTCTTCAATTTCAATTTGGTCCCTGATTAAATCTTTTTAATTTGGTCTCTTAATTATTAATTTTGTCTCAATTAAGTCTTTTTTTTATTTATTTTCGTCGTTAAATCAACTGAATACTTGAACTTGTTCAATCCTATTCACTTCAAGTGTTAAAAATCATATTTTTCCATTTTGATAAAACGGTGAAAATAAACGGACAAACTTAATTGAAATAAAATTAATAATTGAGAGATTAAATTAGGATAAAATAGATATATAATATATATTTAACATTTTCAATACTAATCAAAAAGTAAAATAAAAAATAGAGATCAGATAATATGAATAAATCTTTTAATTTTATTTTTGTTCGTTTAAAATTCAAATTTTTATCATCTTATCAACGCTACATCATTTAGTCTTTATTTTTTTCTTATTCAATTCCTTGAAATACATATCCTATCGATCGAACATATATGACACTTCTGTTTTTTTAGTAGAAGTGTTGTAGTTGTACTTTGATAAAAAAAAAAAAAAAACAGATAAGTATTATATCATAGTTGTAGATAAGATGGAAAAACAAATTTTTGAAGATAAATAAAGCTTGAAAAGGATAAAGTCCTACCCCTGCAAAATTTCTTTTTAAAGCATTATCTTATTCTTAATGCAAATTTTAGAAGAAAAAAAATAGAATAATTTTTTTTTTAAATAAGTCCTATTTTGTGTGATAAAAAATTATTAAGTCCTAAAATCTATAATATAAAATAGGACATATTTCAATAAGTTCTTTCGACAGTTTCAAATAGATTTATCCAATAATTACATACATCTCTCTTATAATCATTCATATTACACCGTGTTAAAAGACACAAGTTACCCTAGTATTTTTATTAATCGATTAAGTCTTATTTTTTAATACTTTATTCCCGTGAAGACTTAAATTACTAAAGTGTCGTTTGAGTTTGGATCACCATTTGTTCTGCACATTGCCTGTTAACAGATCACATTGTTTGAATCCTACTTGAATCGGATAGTGGTATATTTAAATTTTAAATCCATAAAATATGATATAATGAATGAAGATTTGAATCATAATTAGATAATCGATCAAAATTACTAATTTATATCTGACTAATTAAATTCAGATCAAATTTGAATCAATTGACACAATTATTGCTGGCACACATAATTTCCAATATCTTAAAACTAATACAAAAAAATTTTACCTAAATTTAATTTCTGTTATCAAGAATAAAAAGTAAAAATGTAATTTATATTTCACAAGAATAATAAAATTAGAATAAAACATACTATTAAATATTAATTAAGTAAGAATAACTTTTCAAAAGTAAGACTTAATTGTTAAAATTTAAATATCATTAGACTTAATAATTTTATTTTTTTTTGCATAAAAAAAGTAAGACTTATTGATAATTTTCTCAAAACAAAATCATAAAAGAAATATTCAAATTTATTATTTATTGCTGACCAATATTCTTGCTACGGAAAATCCGCACCAATTATACAGAATCCCAAAAAATCAACCAGGAGAAGAACAGAAAGGAAAATTGTAGACCCTTGTCAGGAAACTAACATTTCATCATCTGTACTCAATTGGCCATTAACAAAATCAACAAATCATAAATTCGAACGTCTTGAATTAGATCATCGCTAGTGTCTTCTGGATATGCCCGATAACTGTAGTTTGTCAGATCAAAAGAACTCTACCCATAAGGACGACATGTACATTCAGAAATAAACTTTGAAGCAATTATCTCACTGTACAAGCAACTGCATAAGCCCATGACTTGAGATGTTGTTTCATTGCCATTCCATCATTGAATGGTGGCATCTTGGCATGATGTTGACCCCCAAATCTCTCATACCCACATTTTGTTTTCTCTCTCATCCAAAACCCATAAACCTCATTGTCATCAAATCCAAAATCAAGCTCTCTTTCAATCTTTCTTGTTTGATTTAAACCAGCACTCTTCGACCTTCTGTAGCTTCTCCTTTTCCTCCTTTCTTTTTCCTCATCATCGTTTGAAGATTCTTCAACTTCACCAGCAAGATTGCCACATTTGGGGCACTTTTGGATCACAGCTTCTTCAGTTGGAGGCTGGTTTTGGTGGTTTTCAAGGACTAGAGTAGTGGATTTGGGTGATTTTGTGCTAGGAGTAGTGTCTTTAGGATGGCTTTCTGTGGGGGTTTTCTCACCATTATTAGAATTGACCAAAGATTGAGTTGTTTGTGACAAAATATTGCCGAAGAACCAGAGAGAGTCTAAACCTTGTACGATGTTTAGACCCTCCATGAGAAGCAAAATCCAAGGGAAGGCAGAAAGCTTTGTGTTTTTGCTAGAACTCAGTTTGAAATAGTAGGAGGATCAGAAACTTGATAAATTGTGAAAATTCAGAGACACTCTGGTTTTGGTTGGACTCTTTTGAAGTAGTAAAAGAGGATCAGAAACATGATAATAGACTATAAAAGTTGAGAGAGACAGCTTTCTGCATTTGCTATATTGTTGTTTTTGGTTGGACTTGTACTCTTTTGAAATGGTAAGTGGATCAGAAACTTGATAAAATATGGAAGTTGAGAGAGAGAGTTGTCTTATTTGTTAATCAACAATTCTCCTTGGATCTAATTTATTAATTTAATTATTTATAATTATTAAATTAAATGTGAATTCCAATATTTATTAAGACTCAAAAATAATTTTGTGAAATATTAAATTAATAAATTAAATTCAAATAATTTTTTGAAAAGTTTAGTCACTTCAATGATTGAGTCTAACCTCTCTCATAACTCAAAAATTTCAAGTTCTAAATCATCCTTATTTCTTAGAGGTATATACTAAACCCGCTAGGAATACAGTGACTAATATTCAAATTTAAAAAAATAATTGATACAAATTTAAACGATTTTTAGCCAAAACAAAAAAAAATTCAAATAACATTATTGTTTGCTTACACAGTGGTTTTTGGTTGAACTAGTAGTTTGAAATGGTAAGTGGGTCAGAACTTAAAAGCCTGATAGACTAGTAAAGTTGAATGAAATTACTAAAATAGGTTTCATCATTACAAATAATTAAGAATTAAAAAGGGTATTTTGGTCTTCTTGAAGAAAATAATAATGGTAGAAAATAGTGGGCACTTTTTTGGAGGGACCGTTCGGACCGGAGCGTCATTATGGAAATGACAGTTGTATTCCACACTTTTAAAAGGTGATTGGAAGTCTATGTCACGAGCAAAAACAATGCCACGTGGAACTTGTATTCTACGCCATCTGGGTCAAAAAAAAAGAAAGAAACAAAATGTAAACATATACGTACATGCCTTTTTCTATTTGAATAGTTCAAACGTTAGGGGGGTTTGGGACTATTCTCCAACGGTAGAAAAAAAACCAAACCTGGAAAGAAACAATACAACTAATGTTTTTCTAATTATTCCAATCATTTCTGAAAAAAAAAAAAATTCCAATCATTGAATAACAAGGGATGAGACGAGATAAGGGTGGTTTAATTGTTGAATTTGAAAAAATAATTCAAAAATTTTAAATTTAATATTTTTCATATTCTTTAAAGTTCAATCATCCTTGTTTTACAGAGAATATTTTTTTAAAATTACTTGAGTTATGGTGATCAGTATTTAAGTATGAGGGAATAGTCAATACAAACTTAAATTCCCTATAGCAAAAAGAAAGAGGGGGAGATGAGATGAATTACAAATTCAGACATCATAAATTTAAAATTTATCAATTTTTTGGGGTCAAATTATAAGAAATTGATCTCTCATAAATTTTTCAATAACAATGTAGATAAACTGCTTTTGACCGGATCAGAGAAGGGATAAATCGAAGTGAACGTAAACATAAAATTTTCAATTACAATGTAGATGAACTACTTTTGACCGGATCAAAGAAGAGATAAGTTGAAGTGAGCGTAAACTGACATAGACATCCATGACCGCAATATCAAAAAAAATAATAATAATAACAACAAAGCGTGGAAAGATACTTGATCAGAGGGGTGTCTATGGGTCGGGTTACCCAAAAGTCCTGTTACTCAGCCCCAAAAAATAGGTTCGAAACCTGATAAATTTGATAGTTGTCCTGCCCGAGCACGAACTCAATATCCTTAAAAAGAAAGCTTGAATTTGCCATTAAACCTATTACTTGATTCGAAGCCAGGCCCAATAGCCCGTTCAAAAAAACTTGTCAAAACCCGGCTCAAGAGCCCAGCCCGCCCACCATTCCTTTAAAAAAAAATTTACTTTTAGACCATTAAATTTGAAATTTTGAAATAAGTCTTCCAATGTCGGAATTTAAAATTTTAAAAATTTAGATATTATAAATAATATGTTATTTTTTTTCATGCATTAAACATACAAGTTTTAAATGGTAGAGTAATATAAATAATAGATAAGTGAGTAAGTGTTAACCTAATTGAAATGTATTCATTCTATTAGGAATAATACTATTTGGACTCAAAAATTTGACTTAATTTGTTAACATAAAGATGTGACTTCATAGGAATTATTGGATCAACACTAAGTTCTAATGTTTGATGGGCCTACAATCAATCCAAAGGTCACAGTGAATTAGATCAGTAAATTATGTCAATAAATTAAATTTTAATAACATTAATTTTTTATTGGATGTAGTTCATCTCCTAATAAAAAATAAAATTATTCATTATTTTATTTTTATTCATTTGACTATACTTTTGATTCAAAAATTTAATTTATACAAATATTAAGTGACAAAAATATTTATTATTTTTAAATGAAGTGGTATATAAAAAAATTTATGAGCAGGCTCGCCCATTTATAATCGAGGGTTGGGCTGCGGGTAACCTACTCCTACCCAAAGGTCGACCTTGTTCGGGCTGCCTGATAACTTGCTTACATAAGAGCTTAGGCCTACACTATCGAAACTCTACCCGAAAAAATTTTCAGGTGCCTATCCTAACCTGACCCATGGACACCTCTATTGATCATGGTCAACAATGCTGGACTAACTAAAAAATAAAGACTAAAAAATGTAATGTTATAATAATGATATTTTTTATTATATTTTTATTCATTTAATATCAAGATTTTTTTTACCATATCATTTGTCAAATTTTTTTTGTTTTATTTTTTAGCCGGTCTATCATTAACCTTTCACTAAATTCTAGGTAGTTGGAATAGAATGGTTTTGATAGTTATTGATGATGCACAAAGTTGATTATGTCAAATTTTTTTTGTTTTATTTTTTAGTCGGTCTATCATTAACCTTTTCACTAAATTCTAGGTAGTTGGAATAGAATGGTTTTGATAGTTATTGATGATGCACAAAGTTGATTATGCATAATTAAATCAATTGAATATGTGGTGTAAAACAATTAGTGAAGTAGTTAATAATAAGAGACCGATATTGGGTGATTGGACTGGGTGACCTAACCACTGAAGGCGGCAATGGTGACTGGATAACTCTATTAATAAGAGAGTACAAGGTAGTAGAAGAGAGAACGAGCGCAGAAGTACGCTCAAGGTGAGGTGTATGAGATCTTCCATCATGTGTAGGAGATTTACAATTTATAGGCACAGAGCCTTAATTGTGGTGGTGACGTGAAGGTCAAACTACTAATTTATCGGGGATGATAGCTATAATTGGGGATGGGCACTATGTTGGAGTAATGGCTATCTCGATGATTTCTCTCTCACGCGTGTTGACTCTTCTTGAATTCTTGGACTTTGAACTAGACTGAAGTCATGAGTTAAGCCTGGTTTGCCTTTTGATGATTTTGGGCTTAACCCATGAACTGGGGCCAAGTATAGTTGGATATGGGCTCATCATTTGCCTCTATGCCCAAACCCTAGTAGTGATAGGGGGTTGAGGACATGAGTCAATTCCTTCATTTGTGTAGACCAAGGTATCTTGTTCCACATGGTGACTTTTTCTTTTCAGTTTCCTTTCTATTTCATTATCGAAGCTTATTTTTCCATTTGGTAGCGTCATTGTTGGAGACTCACTGTGGCAGTGCCATTCTCTTTCCTGATTAGAATTAGGGCAGTGTCATTCTCTTTCTTTCTTCCATAAGCAGTAGAGAGAGGATGAAAAGAGGCACGAATGCTTCTACCTAAGGAGATGGAGATGGAGACGCTTTGGTGAGTGGCGCCATGGAAAGGGAGAGAGGTTTGGGTGGCACTAAGATGAACCTGGGTGACGCCAGGGGAGGTGGGAGCCTGGGCGGCACTAGGAGGGGCGACACCGGAGAGCCGAATGATGTTAGGGGAGGCGTGAGGCTAGGCAGTGCCATGAGCGACACCATGGAGGACTTAGACAAACTGATGATGTCTTTGGTTTTTGAAAATTCTCTCTTTCATTCAAACTCCATAGGTGATCCCGTGGTTTATATATCAATGGTGGAGGCTCTCTATGTCACTAGGATATGACAACTTGCCCTTCTCTTAAGAGGGCGAGAATCTACTCTCACGCAAGCAGCCTCAATTCCCAGCTTTGTAGTTTTCTCACGAGTCGCTAAAAGCTTGTTCTAGCTCTGTCTTTGCCAACCTTAACTGCTCCTCAGTAGACTGGCGCACTTGTCTCTTTTTTGTCAAAACCCTTAACACTTCATCAAGTTTGAGAGTCCTTAAAGGCAGGGAAAATTCGCAGCCATCTACAAATATCCAAAAGCAAGAATGTCAGAATGAACAAAACATACAAAAGACAATGTTGCACAGAAAAGAAGGGTACCATAACAATGCCCTCCTTAGCGGTATTGATAATACCCTCAGGACCCTAAGAGCCGACCTCTCTAACATTCGAGGATGTCAAAAACCTCCAAAGCCACTCCTTGGCCAAATTTAGGTCTTGCAGCCTGGACACCGGGCCACTACTAGAAATAGGACAATTATGTGGAGCTCCGGTCTTAGTGGAAGTCTACACAAGAGTCTCAATCTCCAAAGTAGTCCTAGCACCAAGCTTAGGACTCAAAGGGGTCATATGCTGAGAATGAGCGGGGGCACCATCAGACCCCACATTCCGAGAAATGGTAGGCTCATCAAACCTCAACTGGGAAACACTAGGGGTGATTGCCATTGGACGTAAGAAGCCTATAAGGTGAGAATTAAAATGTTCTCATAGATGGTGTCAAACTAATGATGCACAAAGTTGACTATGCACAATCAAATCAGTTGAGTGTGTGGTGAAAATTAATTAATGAAACAGTTAATAATAAGAGACAAATATTAGGTAGTTAGGTCTGGATGACCTAACTACTGAAGGCAACAACGGTGGTCGAAGAACTTTATTAATGAGAGAGTACAAGGTAATAGGAGAGAGAGTGAAAGAGTACGCTTAAAATGAGGTGTATGAGATTTGCCCTCATGTATAGGGGGTTTACAATTGAGTATGTACACTATCTTGGAATAATGACTATCCTGGAATAATGACTATCCCGATGATTGCTCTCCTATGTGCGTTGACTCTACCGTGA